AACGGCCGACGGCGCCGCCGGCCACGGCGCCCCGGGCCGGCCGGGACCGTCCACCGCCGAATGGATGCGTCCGCCGGGCGCGCGCAACCCCGGCTGCATCATGGCTCATGGAGTATGCATGCTGTGCTGAGTGTGTCACGGACCGGGGGCCCCATTTCAGGAGGGCTTCACACGACGGCGGAACGGGCGGGTTCATTGAGGACGCAAGGGAAATGCCGCTATCGCGTGAACACAAGTGGACAACTGACGAAATTCGCATACATGCACACAGAAAAACAAGAGCTTCGCGACAGACGTAGACGGATAAACTCAAACACACCGCACGTGACGTGATAACAGTTTACAGTAACTACTAACTACAGTAACTACAAAAAAAAACACCATCGTCTGCAGCTAAACGCAGATTTATCAAATACGCGTCTACCTCCTCGAAAATTCATCCCAGCCACGCGTAGCGAGCGACGGCATCCCGAAAATATGACCGAAATATAAAAAACTGGATCTCTATATCTCTCCAGAGAGAGACCATTTTTCACCACGCCATTTTACCTCGCTCAGACGCCTTGCTTCAGCGACGCAAAAACCGTCAATAGCGCCTTCCGAGTTGAGATCGTACCGATGAAACTGGTGTGGAACGATCGGTGGGGAGAGGGGGGGGAGGGGATTGTCGGGACTTCAGGCAGGTTTGGGCGTCCGTCAGTGGAAAGAGGGGGGATGGGATGATCGGGCTCGAGCAGCGATCAGTAGGAGGGTGAGGGGCTTGTCAATGTAGGTAAACAAGCCAGGGAATTCCAATGGCTACTGTGTCAAATGACTATTTAATTGTAGTAGCACATTTATTTAACATTAGTAGGTAGGTACTCACCTTCAGTGTTCTCTGGCACTACATTTCCACCAGGTCTGGTGGCATCCAGGCTGGCACCTGAAGTTGACTGTGGCACATTTTGAGCAGTTGATTGCATGTCTATGTCAGAATCTAATCCACTTTGCACTTTTGTCACCATGATTATTGCCTGAAACAAAAAGGAAAATGATGCATCAAACACCATACTTAGACAAAGAAGATTATGGGGCCTTGAAGAGGGCACCTTAATTGATCTAGCTGAAAAATGACATGAAAGACAATGGCTATTACATTTCAGTTTGTTTTGACAATGATGCAGATGATCTCAGCAGCCAGCCACAAGGAACTACAATAGGTACAGCTGAAACTTCAATTTTGTCATGGTCAATGACTGCACCTGACCTAGCCCAGCCTCATCCCACCCTCACTAAGTCACACAAGCACACTGATGTACCTGGCCATTGCCAGGTAGATCAAGATAAGCTGTAAAATGATAAGGAAGAATACTTCAAAGTGTCACTGCTCGTACTAACTAGGCCACTTAATTCATATTCAAAGAGCTTTCAACAAAATCTTGGTATCCTTATATCAGTGAAGCTATCCGTCGCCTTGGAAAAAATAAGAAGAGGCATATATTTGAGTGAGAAGGCTACCTACTTATCTGCACAGAGCACCCGACAGACTGAGATCAAGATGGGAATTAGGAAACACTGACAAGAGTGAGAGAATCCTGGCTGGGACGGTCTCTTCTCATCTCAATCTGGCGACAACTCCCACGCATGCCGAATGAGAACAGCCAGATAAAAATAAGTGTAAAAATGATATACTATGCTTGATGGACACTACATCCACGTATATATCCTGCTTTGGTCTTGGGTTAATCACCGTATCAGTATCCAGTGGAACAAGTGCTAACCGCACCGGAACTCTCACGCTGTTCCAAGTAGCCTGGCAGCGGCAATGGCCAATCAATAAAATGCAATGCGACGTGCATAGCCCGGGATTCGAACCCGGACGGCTGTATTTACAGGCAGGGAACTTACCCCTAGACCAGAATATCCCCCGTCACGTCGCTGCAATATACGTAGGTATTTCCGTATCTACGCAGGACGTATATTACGCGAAATTGACCCTTCAAATCCAATGCCGATTCAGATTCAATCCTCAATCCAGGGCCTTCAATCCGACGCAACCGACAAGCATATTTACGTCTGGACAGCGAGTTGCGTTGGAGAGGACGGAAATAGTGGCGATTTCAGGACCGCAAGAATGGACCGTCATTGGAACGATTCTTTTTTTAACCGTGCACTGTTTTCAGCCGGAATGTAATAGGCACTACAAATTATTTTTTGATTACATTTCCACCAAGAAAGAATACCATCAGGGTTAAGTTTTTACTACAAAAGCATTTTGTCAAGAAGCATATAGTGCTGTTTTATTGCAGTTTTTGCGCGTTTGTTACAAAATATGAAGCGAATAAGCAAAACTGCAAAGTAACGGTATATAGGGCACTACAAAAGCATTTTGTCAAGAAGCATATAGTGCTGTTTTATTGCAGTTTTTGCGCGTTTGTTACAAAATATGAAGCGAATAAGCAAAACTGCAAAGTAACGGTATATAGGGCTCTTGTATAGGGCCTTGAAAGTAACGTCGATGTTTACCTATCGCAAAATATTGTGTTGACCTCAAGTTGCTCTTGCTCTTGTCCATCCCCTAAAAGTTATTAAATATTTTGCTTTGTGTATTCCAAGAGGAAAGGGAACTATTTTATTCGTGCCTTCATGTCAGAATTGAAGGTGGATCATTAAATTTTCAACGCAGTTTATAAACAAGCATTTAGATTTAGTCTGTCTCGTATAAGCAGTGGCTAAGAAGAAAAGGTTGATCAATCCTGAAGTTCAGTCATCGTACCTCAACTTGGCAGCAAGATCCCCAAGGACAGAGGATATATTGTATACCTGTCCTGTAAATCAAAACATTTTTGTGCCTGCAAAGGCTTAAGTTATTTGTGGTATGTTCGGAGTGAGGCTATATGGCTGTTTTTGTTGTATGTTTATGTGGAGATTGAATACAACTGTGATCCTGTGCTTGTTTGTATACTTAATAGTTACTACAGTCAAACAGGGAACAGCGCATTCACATAACATACTCACCTAGCACCTAACTCATAGCTGCATCCCGCAGGATTTGTACTTGTTCATGTCTCAAGCATTAACAAAGCACTAAAGTAGCTTAGTTATCATTTCCGACATTTTTCTGAGCATCTAGCATGACATACAGCAGTGCAGAGCAGCTTCAGAGAAGAAACTTTAAATGCACAGACTCACACCAGCCACCCAATGAGCCAGTTCCTCAGTTGACTGTTTCCCTGGATGCAGCTTGGCAAGGTGAGCTAACTGTTCACAAGTTGAAGGTTAGCAGGTAATGAGGTAAGTTTGAGTTAGGGTGAGTACCTACCTATAACTGGGTGCTACTACTATGCAGGTCTTGGGTAGGTTGCAAATATGTGTGATGATTGAGGTTAGGTCAGCTGTCAGGTTAGTCAGGTATGCTCACTGCTCAGGTCACATTTTTATGGACACTTAGCAAATTAAAAAAACTAACATAACCTAATCTAAGCTAACCTGACTAAACCTACACAACTACTCACTATAGGAATAAAGCACCTACCTACTTGTGCCTACATCTCATACCATGTCAAAGTAAAGTTCCTTGGTGGAAGATTACCCTCAGTACTATTTATCCCGGTGTGAAGAAAACTAATACTTCTAAGTTCTGAGTCACTGCTGGTCATCCACAGAAAGAAATGCTGAGCTTTGCCATTGTACATTGGACCAACAATCACTATCACGAATGACTATGAACACATTATATGATCACATTGTTGCATGCCGGATTGTCACATTGACAATTTTACTGCAATCCTTTTTTCAAGAAATACAGTAACAATTAACATCAAAATCAACATAAAGTGGATTTAGTGATCCAAGCTTTCTCCTCCAGTAGCAATGGAATGATCGCATGCTTCATTTGCCAGACTCTGAGTACCTGATGCACATTACCATCTGCATAGCATCTAAGCATAGTAAAGCTGCCTGAGGATCCATTCATTCTAGATTTTTCACTTGATAGTTACCACTAATTTATCTTGCTGTTGTAATTTATCATTCAATTTTCATACCAAAATATCAATATGCGCTCATAAGTCAACATTTTCTGGCATAATACTGCTCAGCGTGCTCTTCAGTATTGATCCAAGATCTCTTGCAATATCATAGCTTGTTGCGGCCAATAAGCTCTTTTAATTTTACTTTTTCTTGCTGATATGTGAGCCCGATCAACTTGCGTTTATCAACCGAAATTTCATAACTTCAAGTTGAAGCAACTTGATATTGATATTGCTCAGGACTCAGCCTCAGGTAGGACCTCTGTCAGCCTCCTGGGTACATGGGATTGTTTTCAGTTAACATGCTTCTTAAATATGATATAAGTCAATCTTAAGGGATTCAAAACATCCAACAAAACGACGTACAAGAGTACGGAAACCACCAGATAAACTTGAATAGGGCCTTGCAACAGAGCCAAGTGGTGCTCCATTTGTTTGTTTACCATTATTGTAGTGCTGATGTATTTTTAGGACTCTGACGGTCGGCTTATAAAAAAAAAAATGAAACGTTTTTACAAAATTTGTACAGCAAGAAATATTTATCTGAAAGAACTAAAATATTCAAAAGCCAAACACTATGAAATACATGAATTGGAACGAAAAAGTAACCCAAAAATCCAGCCTTATCAACGGCTCCTAAAACTGCGACAAAATCAGCACTTTTCCCCGCAACTCGTTGTCCAGACGTAAATATGCAACCGACAAACACAAACACACAAGTCGCATTACTTTCAAGTAAAATACACAATTCAATGTAGTGAAATGACGTCATAGTTGAAAGAGCCTTTATTTATTTGAACCAAAACTTAACACTTTTTATCATAAATTCCATCTCTTTTATAATAAAACAATATTAGTATTGAAAATAACGCAATTTTTGAATCTATCATCTGTATTAAATTCAAAAATAGAAAAATTGAACGAATTTCATTGGCCTAAAAATATGACGTCACAAAACCTTTTGAGCAATATCAATAAAGCAAATGGTTTTGAAGCGATAATGAAGTGAGCGCCCGAACTGACGCCGGCAAGATGGCGTACGCACCGAAGAATGACGGCCGTCCGAATGTCAAGTTCTACGAATCTGCCGATATTTTGTCTCTTTTTGAAGGAGTTAAGTCATGGCTGATGAAGAACGCAAAAAAGGTATGTGTATACTCCTTATATTTTGGTGTTTTAACGCCTTAAATGTGCGCCAAGTTTGCCGCATTTTGGGTCCGAGCTATCTCGCCACAATTTTACCCTTTTTACTATTTATTTTGTTATTTATATTTTAATTTACATGATCTCTTGATCAATTTTAGAGCACGGATTAGGTTCACTAGTCTCTTGTTAGTAAATATGATTTAAGGCACCAATAATCCCAGGCTGATAAAGCAGTTGGGCAAACTAGACTTTTGGAATCAAAATATGGAGGCATCAATAATTTGATTCTGGTGGGAGGAGCCATGACCAAATATGGGCATGGAATCAATTTTTTGATTCATTTGGGTACACTTTTGACTTCAAATGAATCGTTACGGTTGAAAAAAGGCCCATGACGGTGAGATTTTTCTTTTAAAAGGTAGAAAATTGTGGTAGGTTTGCAAAAAGTGTTACCTCAAAGCTAAGAAATTGTCCCTTTGGACTTGTGAATGGGAAAAAGACAGAGCCACTGTCCATCACGTAAAACTGTTTTGAGGAAATCACACTGTATGTTATTTTTGTGTCATGAATCACATACTTACCAATCAGTATTTGTGTAAAATGGCAAAATGAAATTTTTAAACCCCTAATTACCATTGTTGTAGTGCTTTTATATTGTTTATATGTTTTTTACGTGTTGCTTCAGTTTTTGTATTCTTGACATTTAAAAATTGTGAATTGTTATCAAATGTAGTGAAGATAAAATACAACAATGCTATAGGTATCAGTTGTGGTGCTGAGGATACCACTAAATGAGAATAATAGCAAGATAAATGTTGTATTCTTGCAAGTCATTGTTGCCTATCTGTTAACATTACCTGTGAATCAAAATAATGATTAGCCAGCTGATGGGGAATCAATATTATGATTATCTGTTTAAAGTGAATCAATTCCTTGATTGCCTTTCACTACCTATAGAATTCAAATTGTTATGATAGGAGCAATATTATTTTGCTTAGGAGATAGTTCAAGCATTTCTGTTCATGATCAGGCATGCTCCTTCTTGAAACACTCTCTTATTTTTATGTGATTGGTAAGTTAGAAATAGTCTGCATTTATGCCCAAAAGGAATCAATTTTTTGATGCCTCCATACTTTGATTCCAAAGGTCTAGTTCGCCCAACTGAAAGTTCATATGGGTCGGTCGGAGGGGTGTTCACGGGCACCGCACACTGCTGCGTGCGGTGTGTGCGGTGCGTCCAGCAGGCGTGGGGGTAGGGGATGGGTAGGCGGCTCTGACGTCACGGCTGCGTGCGGTGGACGGTCCGCTGTGGCCAGTCCCGACCGGCCACAGCGGTCGCTGTGTGCGGTGACGGAATGCTGACGTAGGGACGCAGTGGGCGGAGCTTGGAGGCTGTGTGCGGTCCGACTGCACACAGGGCCCGTGAACAGCCCTCTGAAAAAATGTGATAAATGCAGAATAGTGGAAGTAATCTGTTAACTATACCTTTCATGATTTATAAAGAGAACTAGAATATGGCAGTTATTATTAATTAATGGTTGCTGTGTTTTGGCTAGGATTGTGGCGTAGGCCACTTTTTCTTGCATGTTATAACAATGCTGTGCCTCTTAATTATTTTCAGTCCATCGTGTATGCCCCACACCAGTTGTCTCCAACTGTTAGAGTCTGCACTCGCAATAGCTGAACCCTCCCCTGAATTTTCAAAGGCTGCCGGGATTTGTGCTCTTGTCCCAGCGAAATTTCATCTAACCCTGCCACAATTTGCTAGGTGGAGTATAGGTAGTTATTGACCATTTTAATTATATGTAGGGTTGACTTTGTATCCATTTTGATTGTAATTGTAATTCTGTTTGACATCACCTGAATCTCAAAGCTGACCATTTTTAAACAATCTGCCTCATGTTGTCAAATAAATAATAATTTTCCTTGAAGATTACCTAATGCCCATGTAATATGAATTTGATAATGCAGTGCTGAATGGTAGGATTGCAGATAGTTACCTAATGATCATGATCTGCATTTTCAAGCCATATGCAAGGGCTAGCTTGTTTTTGTGCAGCCTGCAGGCATTCTCAAAGTTTTGTTCTGGTTTTATGTGTCCCTTTTCATTCTTCTATGTGCCACAATTAGTTTTGATCTGTATTATTATTGATTTTTCACTAGATATCAGTCATCTTGCACCAGTGGCAAGATGTTTAGGTAATAACTATTGGGGTATGGTAGGTTTAACTCTATTCCTGGCGGGGGGGGGGGGCCTCAGGAGCCCCCCCCCTGAGGTTTTTTGGTTATTTCTCCCAAACGCGTTGAGCTAGGAAGCTCAAATTTTCTGACTTTTCCTAAAAGGCTTCTACGCAACATGTCTGAAAATTTTGAGTTGATCTGACCTCAGGTCAGGTCAACAGAGGCGGTTTGGTGACCCTACCTCAGAAAAGTTTGCAATCACGCCAGAGCTAGAGTTTTTGACCGATCAATTTTTTCTCTTCAGGCTTTAGTTAGGGTACCAGTATGTGCAATTTGTATATCTCGGAATTTTGATATCGGTGACCTAAGGTCAGGTCAGTTTCGCGACCTCCCCATTATAAGTCAATGGGGGAAAAATCAACTCCCTGTTTTTACCACTAAAACGGGTCGGAATGGCCCCATATACCATACATGACTTCATATACGATCAACCTTCACTACCTTGAGGTCTGTTTTGCTGTTGGGCAGCTGTGAGGTCATGTGACGTCATCAAAGGTCACCAAAGGTTTTTGGCCAATAACTCCGTACAGGAACAAGATACAGACGCGTGGATGGTCTCATTGTGTTCAGCTCGTCAAGACGCATCGAATGATATACATGATGACCTCGAGGTCACGTGACCTGAGGTCAACCTTTGACCTTGACCTTGCGAGGTCAACATATATATCATTCGATGCGGATTGACGAGAGGATCACGATGATGCCCTTAGTTTGTTCCTATCTTGACTAATTCGAAAGTTATTCGAGAAAAACTCTCCATATCTAGCGCCGCCATTTTGACTTTTTCGACCCCTGTGACGTCATCTTTGACCTGACCTGAAAATGACCTTAGTAAAAATTGTAGATCTTGACCGTGCGTATCCGATGCCGTTTACCGTTTGTCGCTATCTTGCTTCGTTCTCGAGATCTCAGGGGGGGGGGCCGAATCAGCCCCCCCCCCCGCCAGTTTCTTGTCCCGGCGGAGCCCGCCAGGAATAGGGTTAATGCTTTATTAGGTCTGTAAGTTTTAATTGGCATGCTATACATGAATTGCCTGTGATAGATAGGTATATCATATGATCTGCAGCACAGAGCAACAGGGACCTTGGTCATAGAGTAACAATATCAATGGTACTTTCAACCTCTAAATCACACTTATTTCTAATGCATTTCCTTTTTCAGCATGTTGCTACAGATCCTCCTACAGCAAAAAGCCTGTCTCAACTGATTGTTCAACTGCTGCAATTTCAAGAGGACAATTTTGGAAAGGATGCTGATAAGCCTGCCAGAACACGACTTCCTGTAAGCTCTCTCGCCATCTAAATGTCATAGTAACATTGTGCTTCTGTGTGTGCTATGCTCTCTGATTTTTAAGTATAATCTAGGGCATATCATATTTATTTAAAATGCTCTAAATGCAGCTTTGTAGTTGATTGTGAAAACGTAACAGAACTCCAGCATTTAGGTACCTATTGTAATTGAGGTGTGCCATTTTTTCATGCATATATTACTTATTTCACTTTATGTCAAAGCCACTTTTAGACCTTGCAGCATATGATCCATGTTAGTTATCAAAGATGTTATTATTGAGACCTGTTTTTTTTCAGATGCGCTGCTTTGTGGACTTTGAGCCTGGAAGTGGCCTCTGCCAAATTCTGGCTGCTGCCTACAAGTTCAAGACAGACCATGCCCTTCGCAGATTTGATTTACAGGTAAAATATGGAGGTATAAATATGGAGTTATACCAACTTTAGCCACCATGATGATATGGTAGATGCATCATATAAAGTTTGATACAAGATGAGTGACAGTAGCAGTTGCAAGGTGTGAACAAGTGTTTGGCCTGTTAATGATAGCATGCGATCACACTGTCTGAGAGTTGAAAATGGATTAATTCTCAAACCATTTTTCTTAGATTAAGGTACTGGAAGTAAGATCTTAGTGCTCGGTCAGTGTTAGTGGCTGATTTCTGATATACATGGGGCATTCCACGATAGATCGTACCAGGCCCGTCACCCTCATCTCTCAGATTTGAATGAAAATTGGTACAAGGGGTAATCATAGGCTCCAAAAACACCTGCCAAAATATCAGACTTCTCAGATGAAAACTTTTTGAGTTACATTGCATAATATTTTCTTAACTTCAGATTGTAAGGGTGAGTTTGATGAGCTATAACTCAAAAACGAGCTAAGCAAGCAACAAACGGTAAACAGCTTTGAATTAACGATGAATCAAAGATAAATACAGTATTTTTAAAATTGGAAAGAAAAGCTTTACATATTGAAAAAAGTCGTAGTATTTTTTAAATTGTCTATAATGGTCCTTGGGACCAAAATTTTTGCCATTTTTATTTCTTCAAAATAAACCTCAGGTCCTTTAAAATCGACATGCAAAAAATTAGAAAGGTGTTCTTTCTATAAGTTCCTCATTTAAATGTATACAAAATGGGTTTCCGGGGGGTCGGTACGACCCCAGCTCGCCGTTTCGCCTCTAATGGAGCTAGAACCTTGCGGAAAAAACGAGCATGTGCGCCGTTACAAGATGCATCGAATGATACCAAATTTTAGGTCTCGGGTTCATTGGTGACCCCTGAGGTCATTTCAAGTGACCCAAAATTACGGGTCCGGTTTTTGATAGATAACTTCGCAACAAATGGTCGCAGAGCCGCGATTTTAGCATCTTTGTGTTTGCCTAGCTCCGGCGCGTCGAATGGTATACTGTTTGTTCTGGTGAAGTCAGCTTAAGTCGCTGACCTCGGGTAAGCACACTGCCGTGTATTTGGCTCCGCGCCCCGACCGGGCGGCCCAGCCGGCAGCCAGCCCCGGGCATCACGTGACCGCCCCGAGTCCGCGGCAAAGCCAACCAGCGCGGCGCTGGACTAACAGCGCCGCTACAGAGATGGTTAACAGTCGGGTCAGGCCACGGAGCTGGGTGAATGAGATCATTTTGCACATCATTCGATTCGCAAGGTGTTCCCGAGTCCATTGGTAGCCTTCCCGTCTCTCTAGCTCAATTTGATCGAGAGTTATTGACGAAAAACTCTTATGACCCTAGTGACGTACGAATGACGTCACGCAAGGTCAACAACGCAAAAGTGAGGCAAAAATGACTTCAATTGAACTTTCAGTAACCAGTGATGTCACTAGGCAGCTTTACCACACCATTGTAGGCTCTCTTCCAAAATCACAATTCGAGACCATTACGGTGACGCAAAATAGGTAAGTACATTTATAGAAAGAACACCTTCCTAATTTTTTGCATACTGCTTAAAAATGATCCAAATATGTTTTTAAGCAAATAAAAATTAAAAAAAAAATTTGGTCCCAAAGGCATAAAAATGCAAATGAAAGGAAACTCGAGGTGTTATATATAAAAAATAGTATATATTTCAAAATTTAAAAATGCATATTATTCTTTGTTTCAATGCAAGTTCAATGCCGTATAGCATTTGGCATTTGGATTATCCGTCTTAGAGTTACAGCCCGCCAAACTTGGGGCTGCAACGCAAGATCCAAAACATGTTATACACTATAACTCAAAAACCACTCGTCTGATAAGCCTGAAATTGTTACAGGAGGATTCAGAGCCCCTGATTACCCCTTAGACCAATTATCGTTAAAATCCGAGAGATGAGGGTGTCAAATTGGAAAAAAAGTGGTACGATCTATCGTGGAATGCCCCACATGAGTAATTACTAACTGAGCAAAGACTGCACTGTATGACTGTGACTTGGTTCGATGTATACCATCCACCTCCCGACACGTCGGTCTGACGGACCCCGCTCGTCCCAGTCGCCCTCCAAGATGGACCGGCACATCGAACTGTTCTCGGCCATCGAGAAGGCGCTGGTGGCCGCCGGCCAGATGGTCGTGCCGTCCGTGTTCATCACCGCTGAGGTGGACAAGGCCGAACGCGACAAGCTCAAGGAGACGGTGCGCTCGCACGGTGGCACCATCGCAGGTGAGCGCAGTGAGGGCCGGTGGTCGAAGCGCGTCATATGGAAAATGTGCGGGGACTGGGGCTGCTTGTCTGTGATAGCTGCTGCAAGGCCAGGACTCAGAACGCTTGAAAAAATGCATCAATACCTGAATAATATTTGTGGTTGAGTGACTGCAGTATACCACCCTGACGCGAGACGTTTGATGGTTTTTTTTTCGTGGAAGACTGACTTACGATCTTTTCATTTCCAGAGTCGCGCGACAAGGCCACACACGTGGTGTTCCCGACTCAGGACCCCCTGGAAGAGGAGTACGCCCGTCCGCTGTTCCGGCGGGACAAGTACACCATGCTGCACTGGTACTACTTCCCCGACTCGTACGACACGTGGGTTACAGGTGAGCAAGTCAGCACACTGCAGAATCGATCGTCGGCCGCTGCGCGGGGTGCAGGTTGGAGACAGCCATCTGATGACATTAGAACCCTTATGCGTCGTAATCCGGTACTTAATTGTCGGGAATGTCACGCATTCGACCATAGCTTCCCGATCTTTTTTTTTTTGACGGCGGCGAATATCGGACGAGATCTAGCTATGATGGTTTTCGGGGCTATAGTTTGCCGCTCGTTAAGCGAGGCCAATTTAGTGTCTCTGCCATATTGTTCATGACGTGACTCTGCCATGCCCGTGACGCCAGGTCTGGACCTGGACGACAGTGTGCCGGAGACGCCCGAGTTTGACGCCGAGAAGCAGTGGCGTGTGACGCTCAACTGGGTGCAGGACCTGGACGAGTACAACGAGTGGATGAACGAGGAGGACTACGAGGTCGACGAGGCCGGCAAAAAGAGCAAACACGAGGTAGGCGAGCGATGTCAGCACTAGATTTTGGGTCGGTATTTGGTTAATTGTCGGTTGGGTGAAGTGTCATGGAGGGTATTCTGTTGTGCTTGCGTAAGTTGCACTTTTGGGTAGTTTATGCTGGTAAAGTACTACGCCACTGTTCCCGTGGTCTGACGGTTTCCCTGCCTACCAGCTTTGTCTCTCCGTGGATGACCTCGACGCCATGGCCGCTGGAGAGTCGGAAAAGTCCAAAAAGGGCTCCAAGAAGCGCAAACGGTCACCCTCGCCCGCCGCCTCGAAATCAAAGGGCAAACGGTGAGTGCGTATGATTGTGGTGTTCCCGTTCAGGGCGGGCTGAAGCAAGTGTATCGTCGTTGACATGCGAGAATCTTATTTTTATGCTAATCACGAATTGGTCCTTAACTAAACTAAAAGCCAAGTTACGAAAATAAAATGGAAAAAATACGAATTGGGCTAAAGCATGACACTAGTGATTGATGGCGACGTTCCCGACAGGACGCCGGGTCCGAAGCCGAAGAACAAAAAGTCCAAGACTGAGGAGGAGGAGGACCTGACCAAGGACATGGAGGACCCGCCAGCCGACACCAACCTCACAGAGGTGGTGCTCCCCAAAGGATGTGAGTCGCCAGATTTACTGGGACGGCGGACGGGGTGGAAGAGGCGGATGGCATAAATGGCCGGTAACAAAACTTTTTTCTCAAAACTGTGGAATATTTCCGGCATTTTTTATGCTTTCTTGTGCTTTGCAAACGATTAAACAACCGTTGCTCTTGCATTGGGAATGCTGTGTTCATAGTAATATAAGGGGAATTACGGATTGGGGTGCTTTAAGCGGTGGGCGCCGCCTAATTTACATCAGCGCCAGCTTGCCTCGAAATTTACGTTGTAAATTATTAGGCGTGATTGTGCTATCGTCGAACTATCACTGAGTCATTCGTGTCTTTCTGTGTGTGTGGGTACAGCGAGCCGTAAGGACGCCGACAACCAGCCGGTGAAGGGCGGCACGGTGGTCGATCTGGACGAGGAGGCCAACCAGGAGGACCCCAGCAAGTCCGCAGAGGAGAAAAAGGTGAGCAAAGTGACCCTCCACGCGCCGCTATGACCTGACTGAATGGGCGACAGCCGGTTCGTGTTCCTGTGTTGGGCAGACATATGGACTGCTCTGCATAGTGTTTTGGTTTTGTAAATTGTATTAGCACTGCCGTACAAAGGAAGAAAGCCGTAAGCGCCACTTTTACCGAAAATGAGTTATTGGTATCATTGGAATCGTCATGTTATTCTGCATCTAACCATATACATTACACAGATATTAAATGATTTTATACCAAGTTATACAAGAATAAAATATTTCAAAATAACCTTATGTCACATAAAGCATTTTATAATACTGGCAAATAAACGTATCTTTGACAAAAAAACGTATGATCAACGAAAAAATCGGCTAAAACTCGGAGTAACCATGGATAAAAGACGCAAGTGCTCAGTTACGTTTATTTGCCACCATACATTGTCAACATGGTACAACGGAAAATAAACTTACAGATGGATATACGTTTATTTGCCTTGGTAGAAACCGAAAAAATGCACTTACGTTTATCTTCCATTCTGGAAAGGATTGTCCGACAATTTCGGCCAGCCGTATGTGGGCGTATACGTTTATTTTCCTGGTCACCCTGCCGAATTTCTAATGGCAAAAAGACGTACGATGGACTTACGGTTTTTATCCATTGTCAGTATAACCCGTCCCCAAGCAAAATGGCAAGCTCGATGGACATACGTTTATTTGTACTGACTCACAGTCTGCCCTGGCTGCACTGAGAGAGGGGCCTTCGGCCCAGAGGACGGCCAAGGGGGCGGAGATATGGAGCCGCCTGCTGGAAATCGCTGCACCGGACCGCCACGTGACGCTGCAGTGGGTCCCCTCCCATTGTGGGATCCCAAGCAACGAGGCGGTGGACGTGCTGGCGGGAGAGGCGGCGGCGCTGGAACAAGAAATCGCCTCCATCGACGTCAACACCATCTACAAGGCTGCGGTCCGTCTAGCAGGGTTGTGCTTGACTCATGAGTCGAGTCAGAAATTTGACTCAACTCTGACTCAAATGAGTCAGATTTGAGTCGAGTCGGATAAAATGTTGAACTGTTGAGTTGAGTCAGAGTTGAGTCGGACAAAAATATTAAGGCGTTGAGTTGAGTCAGAGTTGAGTCAGTAAAATAACTTTTGACATTGAGATGAGTCAAACATTTTGGAACATGAGTCAGCTGACTCAACTTTCCAGAAACTGTAATATATAAGCTTTTCATTCCCCCCCCCCCCCCCGCTTAACAGCTTAGCCCTGGCTCTGCTGCATGATTTTTTTCACCCCCCCCCCCGCTCAACAAATTTTTTATCTGAGTCAATTTTGAGTCAAGTAACTTGACTCAACAAAATTTGAGTCAAGTTTGAGTCGACTCATATTTTCATCGAGCCGCTTGAGTCATGAGTCGAGTCAAGGGAAAAAAATCAGCTCCTTGTTTGAGTCAGAGTTGAGTCAGGGCTTTCTGAAGTTGAATGATGAGTCGATTCGGCAATTTTTTTTTTTTAGTCGAGCACAACCCTGCCGTCTAGCCAGGGACCGGGCGCCAGGGACAGACCGTCATACCCGGACCCGACACGCAGAGCGGCGACCGGCTGGTACCGTGAGCTGATGGGTACGAGATACCTGCCCCCAATCTCCAACCTGGATCGGCGATCAGCCATCGATGTCCACCAGATCCGGACTGGCCGCTGGAGTGGATCGACCCAGTTCCTGCACTCCATCGGCCGGAGCCCCTCAGCCGCCTGTGCCCAATGCCGGGACCTGCTATGCGAGGCCGCCCGGTGCCCGCTGTGCGGCGAAGAGGCGGACACCCCCCGGCACATCCTGCTCACGTGCCCGGGCCTGATGGGTGTTCGCCTCAGAACCCCGGCCGTAAGGAACATCTTACCAACACCCGACGAGGTCTGGCGCAGTGACGTGGTGGCGGCCCTGGTGGCCGCCTTCAGGGCCCTCCAGAGCCGATGAGGCTACGCCGCGGGGCCACCCGCAGCCGGAGGGAAAATCAACAACAATCAACAACAACAGGAGTGTATGCCTCCTGTCGGCACACGGTGCACCGGCCCGCCGCGCAATCGGTGTCGGGGCACTGGCAGCACTCCACGGTAGAGTTCCATACGATCCAGTGCAGACTCTGGCGGGGCCCCGACCAGTAGCTCGCACAGAGCTGATGAACGTCTTCGGCTAAAGAGCGGTCCTCCTCCGCCATCGGCGCGGCGGTGGCAATCGGTCCCGGGTACCAGCCGTCCGGCCAGGCGGCGACGGCGTGGTCGCATGCTATTCTGATAACCGCGCGGTGGGCGGTGCCGACATCCACCTGGACCGCTGCTTGGGGAGCGTCGCCGCCTCCTTGGCGACCTGGTCGGCGCGCTGATTCCCGTCGATGCTGCAGCGGGACGGCACCCACTGCAGGTGGATGTGATGGGGCGGGACGACCAGTGCTGCCAAACCCATCCATACGACGGTACCCAGCGGGGACTTTTGGGTCATCCCCCAACCCCCTCCCGGAGGGCCGCGAGTGCTGCCTGGGAGTCCGTACAAAAAAAAAAAAAAACTGTTGGAAGATTCGCATGCTGCGTATGGTCTCGCTCGCATGTGGTCCAGGGCTGAGCGGAGCGCGGCCAGCTCCGTCCTGAAGCTGGAGAAGACATGGCCGGCCGGGGAGCTCAGCTGTTGTTGTTTGTCTCTCTGCGGCCCAAAGAGGGGTAGCCAATCGGCTCTGAAGGGAGACGAAGGCGGCCCCCCAAAGCCGCCACCACGTCGGCGCTACGCAGCTCCTCGGTCGTCGGGTGGTTTGTTCCCAGCACGCAAAACCGCAGGTCATGAGGGTGATGACTGATGCACCTCAGTAGCACGTGCGCCAGGGTGTCCGCCTCTTCAAGACAGATGCTGCATCTGGCCGCGGTGCATCTTTCATCTTCGCACCTGGCGCAGGCGGTAGTGGGACTTTTGACGATTTTGGGTAAACACTGTTGGGACCTGGTTCAGTGCCCGGCGCGGAGCTGGTGGACGTCGACGGGAGCGCGGCTCGTCAGTCGTCCGGCCAGTCCACGAACACTCCAGCTCCTCCGCAGTGGACTCCAGCGTCCGCCGAACCGTCCGTCCACACCCAGGTGGCTCGTTGGAGAAGAAAGATCAAAAGTCGCCGCGCCGCCCGGCGCAGATCATCGGCCGAGGCTCCCAGTCGCAGAATCTCGATGTCCAGGCCGAATGTAACGTGGGGACAGGCAGTCACCTCCCACGGCGGTGAGCGGGTTGGCTGCAGGGTGACTGAACGGTGGGACGATCCCAGCGGCCCGTCACGCATCGCACACGGCCTCGCACCAGTCCGTCACGAATTTCAGCCGGTGTCGCCCCTCCGCCTCCGCGGCTGACCTGAGCGGGTCATTTCGATGAGCACGTATGCCTTGGCGAGGAGCTTGGCCTCTAAAACAGCCCGGCGGGCGGCCACCGGCATCAGCCCGGTTTCCGTCATCACAACGTGAACCGGGGTGGACAGGGGGCAGCCGGTTATGGTACGGACCACCGCCTACCCTGCAACGATGCTTCGATACACAACGGGGTGGAGCAGTCAAGTACGCAGTCAGCCACTCCTAAGGACAGGCGAGGAGGTGGAACTCACACAATTAAGTGTGACTGTGACACGATAGCGTCCCGTCAGCATGTCGTATCCGCCGGCGGCACCGTATTACAGGTACAGGTCTCGCGGGTTTTAACGGTAGGTTTTGCAGTTTGCACCTAGAAAATTTAGTGTACTTCAGGCTATATATTCGTCGCCTATAAGTGTTGAAGATGCGATCGACTTGTTGGTTCACAAGCCGGCCATGATCGTGAAATAGCTTCATCGTAGTTCGATTAGTTTCTGAGATATAACCGGAAATGTAAAAGTGCAAACCTACCGCTTAATTTCGCGAGAGCCGTACCTTCGAGCACTAAAGAGAAGGCAATCTCCTCCGGATCTTTACCAGTATGCTGCACAAGAAAATCGACGAGCCATGCAAGAATCTGCTGGGGCTGATCTCCCGCCACAGACTTCTTGCTTGCTCTGCAGAACAGAGCCAAGACAACAGTGCGGTACATCCTGAGCTAGAAGGAAAGCGACGCTTCTGTTTTGACCAAGGCTGAGCGGTCGAGATTTTCGGTAACTCGACTCCGGCTCCCAAAATCGACTCCAACTCCGACTTCGTAAAGAACTGTAGACTCCGACCAACTCCTACTCAAACTCCGATCCCGACTCCGCATCCCTGCGTGTCGCTGTCCAGGCAATGAATTATGCAGAGTCGAAGTCGCGACTCCGACTCCGGCTTCCAAAGTTGCTCCGATCCCGACTCCAACTCCTGTCAGAATTGTTGACTTCGACTGACCCCGACTCTGACTCCGTTTTTACACTCATTTGCCGCATTATTTTACGCAGTTGCCCCGGATTCATGTGTAGGTACTTAATACGCTTTTCATTCATTCATTCTTTCCTTTTCATTCATTTCATTCATTTTCTGGTACGACATACGGCTATTTTATTGTCACTTTATCTCGAATTCGGCTGAAATGACAAAGGGCAGAAAGGCGTATCGTGCACTTACGCTTTTTGGCCGGTCATTGAGTAGGAAGACGGAGGTTAGTATCAAAAACAAAAAGACGTAAGTCACATCATACGTCTTTTTGCCACTTTTTCTCGGCCCATGGTGACCAAGGTAAATAAGCGTATCCGCCATCCGTGAGATTCAGGCTTGACATACGTTTATTTGACTTGACAGATGCACCTAACTGTTGACTTGTTGACTAAGGAAAAAAGCATTTATTGAAATATAGCAAAAAGTATTCAATTTTGAGGGAAATAAAGCATATCAGTAGGTTGCTGCTAAAGAAAGCATCATTTCTATACCTAATTTTACAATAAACATCCACTCTGTAAGAGTGTATTAAATGAAAACCGAAAAAGTGCTCTCCTGTAAAATTTGGTAAATGGCGCTTACGGTTTTCTTCCTTTGGACGGCAGAGCATTGGATTGGTGTCTGGAGCGTTGAAAGTTAAATTAGCGTATTTGTTGATGTTGATATATGTGTGTCCTATCAGGATGAGATGGAGGATAACGCCACTGAGCAGACGCACAACATCATCGTGCCGAGCTACTCGGCTTGGTTCGACTACAACGCCATTCATGGCATCGAAAAGCGCGCACTACCAGAGTTCTTCAACGACAAGAACAAGAGCAAGACGCCCGAGACCTACATCGCCTACCGCAACTTCATGATCGACACATACAGGTAAGAGTCACTCATGGTCGAAAAAATGACTGATTTGCGCAAAATGACCTTGTAGTCGGCGCGCCCTTAAGCCCCAATAAACAACAAAAAATGACTCACTGGTTGGGGTCGGGTGGAAACTGAGCATCCAGGGATGCATGTCGAAATCATACTATTTTTATTATCATGCACATTGCACATTGTTCGTAGCTGGCTGAATGAATGAAATGGCTTATTAATTGTTAAATTATTGATCACCTCAAACCGCTTGTAGGTGGTGCGAGGCCATGGTCCGTATGTCTCTTTGCCGGTTGTGACCCGAATTTGACCTTTTTCGCCGCAGGCTGAACCCCACCGAGTACATGACGAGTACGGCGGCGCGGCGGAACCTGGCAGGAGACGTGTGTGCCATCATGAGGGTGCACGCTTTCCTCGAGCAGTGGGGACTGATCAACTACCAGGTAGGCGTTCGAATTCTCTCATTCAAGACTGAATGGGTTGGTAGGTAGCGTCATAGTGAGATGGCGACCGGTTAGTGATTGTCGGGAATCACTTTCTGTAGCTACAGCTGCGGCCTGTCTCACATGTCCATGGTTGGTTTAGTGAGCCGCCATGTTGTTCCTCCCGCCCATGAGTGGCTTCATTTCTCATGCTCACTGCGACTCATTCGTCGTACCGTTTTCACCTGGTTTCACCATCCCCCGGCTCCACTCGTACCAAGTCCATCTTTGCGGTGCCTCAAGCCTCCGTCTGACCTGTCTATCCCCTCAGGTGGACAGCGACAGCCGTCCGACGTCGATGGGCCCGCCGCCCACCTCGCACTTCCACGTGCTGTCCGACACACCGACAGGGCTGCAGCCCATCAACCCGCCCCGCACCGGCCAGCCGTCCGCCGCCAAACAGCTCTGCGACTTCGACAAGAAGGCGGAGGGCGGTGACACGGCCGGCGCCGGGGCCGCCGGAGCGGATAAGAAGGATATCACGGACAACTTCGGACTCAAGCTAGACCAGTGAGTAGCATTGATGAAGGTGTGATTAGGTTGGTTGGTAGGTTGGCGGAATGCTGGGTCAGGCGGGACACCAAGTGACGGTGTCCTAGCAGCTGAGCATAGTGCTAAAACGGGCGATGCTTATATGCCGGTCGATTAGCACTCAAGACTACATTATCGATGGCTTACCACACCGAAAGGTTTTGAACCATGTCTATTCGTATGTGTACTCGTACAGTTTCCTTCTCTGTTTTAAACTTTTCACCCAAATTATGTTTTGCATTGAGATCACCTCTGTTTCTCTCTGAAGCCTTTCACTACGATCCCGTTTCCTTTATCATGCCACTAACCCCCCGTCCGCGCCATCCGCCAGGTACGCCAAGAAGTCGGGTCTGATGCGGAATAAGCAGGCGGCGAACCTGTCTCGCGACTGGACGGAGCAGGAGACGCTGCTGCTGCTCGAGGCGCTGGAACTCTACAAAGACGACTGGAACAAGGTAGGGCTACGTTTGGGCTGGGGAAGGGTGAGCCATGGGAAGAGAGTTTTGGGACGGGATGACCTTACCTTGGGCGGGAAAAGAGCGTGGTTACGTTTTATTTGACACTTTATCCTCAGCAGTTTATTGTATTCTGACGGCATGGAAAGCCGCTTGCTTATCTGTACCTACTTTTCACTTTCTATGCTTATTCGTTATACCGGGTGTGGGCAGCATTATCGTTTTTAAAACAAGCAACGTCTCTGGTGTTACTGCCTAAATGGCATATGATTTATATCTCCGGTGCGACTGAACTCTGATGACTGATACGACTGACGTCTGTCGGCAGGTGTGCGAGCACGTGGGCACGCGCACCCAGGACGAGTGTATCCTGTACTTCCTGCGGCTACCCATCGAGGACCCGTACCTCGAGGATCCCGCCTGGGGTGAGTGGGCCGGCCGGCATTGTCCCGCGTCGTCGGACGGTGCCGAGGCCGAATGTTTCAGTGTCAGACCAGCCAGGAAGCCAATATCAGCTCGGATTGAGCAAACAGAGATGGCTGATACATATATTCTCCTGTCAAGAATATTATCGCTTAGCACTCTCGACTGTCGTAACGCTTCTAGTTAATACTCTCATGTGCTACTTGTCTGTGCATTATCGTTTTGCTTAGGTGACTTAGGTGACCCCATGACTTAGGTGCTGTTGGATCAGCCGATGGATGACCCATCCCCAGCTTTGACCGTCCCTCCCCGCCCGTCCATCAGGAGAGGGCGCCATCGGGCCTCTGGCTTACCAGCCGATCCCGTTCAGCAAGGCCGGCAACCCGATAATGTCGACGGTGGCCTTCCTGGCGAGCACGGTGGACCCGCGCGTGGCCGCGTCAGCCGCCAAGGCCGCCATGGAGGAGTTCGCGCGCATCAAGGAGGAGGTGCCCTCGGCGCTGCTCGACCAGCACGTCAAGAACGTGGCGCGCGCCGTGGCAGAGGGCAAGGAGCCCCAGTCGGCGCTGGAAAAGGTATGTGGCAACGACGGTTTACGGGCCTTGTCGAGTAATTTAACAGGCTGACAGTGGAGGTTTTCCATATGTAATTTATTCGTGGCAGTTGTAATGAACACGCTGAAATAATGAACGTGCTTTTTTATCACAAAATTAATTTACGCTGACATTTAACACTGAATCATTCACAGTCATTGATTTGACTCGCATACTCATTGTTGATTCACTAACTATGTGGCGAGTTTAGTCTTTCACGATGATTATTTGCCATTGGCTTGTGGCCCGCAGAGCGGCATTGCCGGTACGGTACCTGAGAAGGAGGAAGAAGGCGAGAAAGAGGACGAGAAGAAGAAGCGGAAAGAGAAGGAGGACGAGTCTGCTGCCGGCGGTGAGAGCGGTGACAAGGCGGAGGACCCCGCCGCCGCGGCTGGGGAGAAGGCCGCCGCCGAGACCAAGGAGGAGGGGAACGGAGCGGCTGCTGAGAAGGAGGCGGGCGCGGGCGGCGACCAGCCGGCTCCGGCGGCGGCCGCGGCCGGCGGAGAGGTGAAGGAGGAGCCCGCCGAGCCGCCAACTCCCGAGGAGGTGGCGCGCGTGGAGACGGAGCGCGACCGGCTGGTGAAGGACGCCAGTCTGCAGACGGCCGCCTCCGCCGCGCTCAGCGCCGCCGCCATCAAGGCCAAGCACCTGGCGGCCGTCGAGGAGCGCAAGATCAAGTCGCTGGTGGCACAGCTGGTCGAGACCCAGATGAAGAAGCTGGAGATCAAGCTGCGCCACTTCGAGGAGCTGGAGACGACGATGGACAAGGAGCGCGAGACGCTCGAGTACCAGCGGCAGCAGCTGCTGCAGGAGCGCCAGCAGTTCCACATGGAGCAGCTGCGCGCCGCAGAGTTCCGCGCGCGCCAGCAGGCGCAGGCGGTGCTGGCGCAGGGCGGCGCGCCGCCGGCCGTGGCCGCCGTCGGCTCGTCCCCGGTGCCGTCGCCGAGCACGGGCGCCTCGCCGCAGCCGCCGGCGCAGGCCTCCCCGGCGCCGGTCTCGCCGGCCGTGCAGTAGGCGGCGCGCGCGGCGCCGGCCGTCCGCGCGCCGCCGCCGCTGCCCCGGCACTCTGTGGCGCTCAGCCTGCTCCGGGCGCCCAGCGGCGGCGGCGGCGGACCGGCGCCGTGGGGCGCGGCCGCGCGGCCCCGTCCTCGGCTGCCGTCCTGCGATGACGGCTCGGAGCACGCGCTGCCGTCGTCCACCACGGACCTGTAGTGAGCGCCGGACGGCCGCGCGGGCCCACCGCCCACCTGCCGAGCCGTCCAGACACCGGCGTCCGGAAAATGGCACTCATCGTATGTGTATCCGGCGATCACCGAGCAAAACAACGCCTAATCAAGGACCCAAAAACTTTAAGAACGCCTGAGGGCTGAGAGTGTGGGCAAATTTGCGATTGGTGGTCATATTTCTCTGCGTTCAACTCTGTCTGGGGGTGTCATCGCAGACTTCATCACGTCTTGTCACGGCTGCCCGTCTGGGACTGCCGTGACGTCATCTATTGGAATGGGTGTGTCGCCTGCGCGGTTGTGTGCTTTTGTGCGAGATCGAATTTCCACAGGGGGATGATAAGAATTAGTACCTAGTGAATGATGTGTAACTGTGGCATATGTGTAGATGAGTAGATCTGCCGGGTTGGAGGTCCTGGCATTTTCCATGGTCTCAGTTTTTTTTCGCGGCCTCGTCAACTTGAGTCCATTGCCTGCTTTTCACCGACTCATGTACAACTCCTCCGACACTTGTGTTTAACAATATGTCTCGTATGCCGCATTGAATATAAAATGATGTTGACGATGTTTTTTTTTTCAAAATAATTTTATTGCCTGTCCCTGAGTAGGTATAAGGCTAGGTGTTGTTTGTGAGGTTCAAACCGTAATTTAAAGAATATGCTTTGTCTGAAATCAAAGCTGGCCGCATTGTCGGGGATTTAGCCGAAATTTGCCGTGCCCGCCTATTGCATAACGTTTCAGAAACTTTGTTTCGTACAGTGCCCGACGCGTACCTACCTACAACACATATTGTCATTTGAATCCGTATTTCAAGGATTGAGATAGCTCTGCTTTTTGTTTTGCAGTCAATGACCTGTTGCAATTTAATTTACAACCTTGACATATTGATATAGCTGAGCACTTCGTATCGGCACTACTGGAAGTACTCATTACTGGATCGATGGAAACCCTATTTGGCCACCTCTATTTGTGTTATTTGGCCATCTCTATTGTTTTTTCAAATCTGACGCACCTGTGACAGCGTATAAATGTCAACAAATTCGCCGCATGCCGCAAAGCCATTTGCCGCTCGTCCGAGTTCTAAGTTGTGCTTATCCGCAATTTCTTTCATTTTAAAGCCAAAAGTAAAGCAAGGGCTTATCTGTTATATTGCCTTTCAAGCGGCTTGAGGGCGTTGTCCTCTTTGGTTCAAGGTTAGTATCTAATCACCTACAATAACAATTGAATTGCATGGCTCCAGTCCACGGACCGTGAATAATTGATTAATCTTAATTAATGAATTTAGATTTTAATAGAATGACATGTCAATGTCTTTTGCATTGGACTGTTACTACCTACATTATGAAACAACTTGCTGTGATAAATGTTTTTTTTCACTTAAGATATAGAGTTTAAAAGCCAGATAAAGGTTCTCTAACAGGAGTCAGAATGTCACCAACCTCAGCTATTTTTTGTCTGATGGTATCCCCAAATTTTGCCATCCACACTGTAAATAGAAGTTGTTGATGAGCAAAGGGCATTAGCAGAGCAGAAGTCACACGACGGTTTTCCTGCTGAGGAGGTTTGTAGGTTGTAGGATGTAGGTTTTCAGGTTGTAGGTTTGTAGGTTGTAGGTAAGGTAAGGTCAGGTTAGGTTAGGTTTGTTTAGGTTTTGTTAGAAAGAAGCAGCTCCGGGTATTGGTATCTCGCCTCTCCTTGGTTGGTAAACCAAAACCTTCATGTGACGTTTGCTCTACTATTACCGAGAAAAGCAGCATAAATGAGTCTGTCTTGTTTTGTGTTTTCACATCACTATTTTCAAAGTGGTTGGTTTAACTTGAGGGAGACAAGACAGGATTGGGGGAGGAAGAATTTAAGGTATTGGTATAGGCAGCCTGCAGGTTTTCTGTTGGTGAAACTGGCCTCAGATGAATAAGTTTAATGTGGTGGTCATTTCTGTTTTACTGATTATCATGTTACACAGTATGTATGTGCCACTTTGCTCTTACTGGGATGTATATTTATTCTCGTCTCGATATTTATTTGACATTAAAGATTTTAATGTTAAATACGGGCGAATTTTGAGGCAAAGCGAAGGCGTTGTGCAAGTGGATTCACCTCACCGAGGTCTGCTTCCCTGCTCTGCAATCTGCATGCTGCTCTCACCTGGATGAGGGAGTACTTACTGCCAGTTGCATGCTTTTGTCTTTGTCCGTCCTTGTCTGCTTCTAACCCATACCGCATATAACCCACCCAACCTGCCCTTGCAGTGTTGTCCTCGTCTTGCATTGTGCGTGCTTTGCATGTTAGTGTGACACAGAAGATTGAACCAGCTCCTGGCCTTGCATGGTATGTGATCACATGTCTTGCTAAGGGACACAGAAATGCCAATCCCAAGATCCCCAACTCTCAAGCACAAATCCTGCTCGCAGTCCAAGATGGACTCACTGAGATCTTTCTCTGCCTCAGATACAGATCAACCAAATGTTGACTACCAAGACGCTGTTTCATCTCAAGCAGCTAAGCCTGCAGGGATTGTTGCCAGTTCACTCAAATCTTTGCCTCTTGACATTGGGACAAGATTGTCTCCGACCATCCCCAGACCTCCAGGCATCACTAGTTCGACCTGCAATGGAGGGCCTGGGAATCACGTGTGTAATCTTGAAGTGAAGACCAATCAACAAGGGGTACAGTGTGACATATGCTTTAACTGGTATCATGCCCTCTGCCAAGATATACCCAGAAGTGCATACAACGCTCTAAAGAAACATGAAGTGATTGCATTCATTTGCAGCACATGCAAAAAGCTACCAAACCTGGACAAATTCCAGCCAAGAGCCTCCACAAGGGATGTTGCCATCCAACTGTCCCCAATCTCGCTCCATGATCACTCAGGGCAGAGCAAACATTCAACCTCTGCTGTTGCAGCCCAAGTTAACATGGAGTCGTTGACCCCCCAGAGCCTGCCTGAGATAAGCAATGCTCTCTCTGCGCTCATCAAGAAGATCGACAAGCTTGAAAAAGCTATCACAGATCAGCAGACTACCTCCTCAGTGACCCATAGCCAATCCAGCGAGGCCGGGGACTCCCAACCAACCATCTCCAGCAACAGCAAACACCCCTCCTATGCTGAAGCGCTGATTCGGCCCAATCCCTCAGGTCCTACCCAGGCCAGAGGGACAGACCAGGCTGGAAACCAAAACAACTATAGGACTGTGGTCAGGGAGGAGCTTCTGGAACTTGATGAGAGAAAGAAGAGACGAGCTTCCCTGGTGATCCGAGGACTAGGAGCATCATCTTCTGCTGAGGCTATAGACAAATTTGCTGAAGTCACCCATCTCCTGATTGGGGAAAGAGTGGCCCTCTCGGAAGCATGTAGGATCAAACCAGGTGTTGATCTGTTTCGAGGCAATGTCCACAACTCCCAGCACAGGAAGCTGGTCCTCGAACAGGCAAAAAACCTTAAGAACTCTGAGCAATTCTCAAAGGTGTATGTCAAACGGGACCTGACATACATGCAACGTATGGAGCTCCAAGAGAGGTTCCTCAAGCATGGCAGGAAGACCACGGCGGATCCCCCGACGAATTCCTCCTTGCAAACTGAAGTGAGATCAACGACACGGCCCCCAGTTGGAACTGAGGCCCGCACTCGAACCAGGGTGTGGGAACGTCGAGAGCCCCCCTCCGAGCCTGCTGTGCCTCTTGAACCCGGCTCCCTGACTCAACGGCCCCCACCCGCTGCCCCTCCCGGAACACCAAAGCCCGACGACCCGAAGGATAATGATGGTCAACCAGTAACCACCAACAGTGCACCCGTCTTGTCCCCCAACCGCGAAGCAGTCTTGCCTGTTGCTTCCAATGGTGATGACGTTGGCGACCACCACAACGAAGCTGAAACTTTAAACCCCTTCCCTACCCAAGGCGGGTCGGGAAACTAACACGTCAAGACAAAACTCCACGCACATTCGCTCTCCATATTGCTCATTGCAACGTCAACGGCATCTGCAACAAAATTCCAGTGCTGCAGGACACGTTACATCTGAAAGGTTTTACAGACATCTTTCTGGTCTCAGAAACACATCTCCAAGAACATATTCACGACGCAGCAGTACAGATTCCGGGATACACGCTTGTAAGGAACGATAGTGGTAGAGCAGGAATTCACGGGGTTGCCGCATACATAGCCGATCATCTGCAGTTCGACAAGGTGGATGTATCCTTCAGTAATGTATTATCATTTCATCTGCCAGTTCTCGGCATCTACATCTTCGTCGTATACAAGCCACCTTCGCATTCCGCCGCGGAAAATGAGGCTCTTGTCTCGTTCCTTTTAGAGACCTGCATTGGCAAGGAGACAATAATTCTGGGTGACTTCAACTTGCCTTCTCTCGATTGGACTTCTCCAGACAACATCCTCAGAGCAGCAACACCGCCGGATACAAGATTCTTGGACCTGTTTGATCACTTGGGGCTGAACCAATGGATCACAGAACCGACTTTCCCACGATCAGGCAACATCCTCGACCTCATACTCACATCTGAGGACGACAGGATTGGGGACGTTACGGTCAATGCCCCTCCTCCGGGATGCGATCACTGCAGCATCCACTGCAGCTATGTTTTTGACAAAGACATCCAGGTGCCTCCAGAGAACTCGCACCGTCTACTGTGGCACCACGGGAAATATCACATGATCAACCGTCACATGGCAACAATTGACTGGGACCTTGAGCTTCAGTATTTATCTGCGCATGACGCCTTCGAGCGTCTCCAGGACATATTGGAAGTGCTAATATCCCAATTCATCCCGAGATCTACACATAACAAGCCCAACAACAAGTTTCCTTGGAAGAGAAACCCACCGACTTCTCTGAAACACCTAAGGTCCTCCACATGGTCAGCCTACAAGCAGGCGAGAACGTCCTTCGGCAGGAACTCCCCTGAGGCAAAGACACTGCTAGCATCGTTTCTACAGTGTAACAAACGGTTACGAAGTTTCGCAACAAACTCGCAAATCGACTACGAGCGATCACTCCTAAAGAAGATGAGGGACAGCCCGAAGCTCATTCACTCGTACCTACGTAAGAAGAAACAGTTCCGCTCTTCTGTGGGACCTTTAACTCTGTCATCGGGCTCCGTCACTGACCATCCCAAAGCCATGGCCGATGCCTTCGCGGAGGCTTTTGCCAGCGTCTATGGCGAAGCCCCACAGCTCACTCCCTTTCCTCACCAGAGCTGCCAGGCATCGCTGAATAACGTTACATTTACCCGCGAAGATGTTGAGGGCATCCTTGTTCACCTCGATGCTAACTCTTCGATGGGCCCCGACGGTATCCATCCTCGTCTGTTGAAGGAATGTGCCTTGGTTTTATCGCAACCACTGTTTCATATCTACAAACTGTCGCTAGAAGAGGGAACACTGCCTCGCCGTTGGAAGAACTCCCACGTAGTACCGATCTTCAAGAAAGGCTCGCGATCAGACCCTCTAAACTACCGGCCAGTTAGTCTTCTATCTGTTCCATCAAAATGCCTGGAACGCATTATTGTGCGTGAACTGAACGAGTTCCTTGCCGAGAACAACCTTCTTGTCGACCATCAATTCGGTTTCAGGTCGGGCCGCTCTACTGAAGACCAGCTTCTACTGACGTACGACTTCGTCTCGCGCAACTGGGACAACGGATGCCTCGTCGATCTTATTCTTTTCGACTTCTCCAAGGCCTTCGACACGGTGTGCCACTCAGTCCTCCTCGAGAAACTCCGATGTATTGGTCTCGGCGGACAACTCCTTGCCTGGCTCCAGGACTTCCTATCTCATCGAAGGATGCAAGTAGTGGTCAAAAGCACTCTGAGCTCATCGAAGGAAGTACGGAGCGGAGTACCCCAAGGATCGATTCTAGGTCCGATCCTTTTTTGATCTACGTCAACCACATAGCCATCGGTTTACACAGCCGCTACAAAATCTTCGCAGACGACCTGAAGATATACATGTGTGGGAACAAGTCCGAGCTCGACGCCAAAAGTCTTCAGTCGGACATCGATCGTCTCCAAGCCACAGCATCATCGTGGGGCCTTTCGCTGAACTCGAAGAAGTGCGTCCTCATGAGGTTCCAACGGAAATTCCACAAATCACCAAGACCGAGTTACTATCTGAATAACTCTGCCCTTCCCTGGACCGAATCGCACTCCGACCTTGGCGTGATCATCGATGACAGCCTAAGGTTCCACGAACAGGCTAGAGCTGCCGCCAGGAAGGCTGGAGGAGTGGCACACAGCTTTTTGAAAGCAACCTTGTGTAGGGATGCAGACTTCATGCTGCACATCCTCCGCACCCACATTCGTCCAGTTCTGGAATACGCCTCTGTTGTATGGAACACAGGATACATCGATGACCTCAGAAGACTCGAGGCGGTCCAACGACTATGGACTCGTCACATCAAAGGCCTGCAAAACATGGAGTACGGTGACCGCCTGAGACAGTTAAACCTCTTCTCTGTGAAGGGCAGACTGATCCGATCCGACCTCATCAAATGCTGGAAAATCTTCCACAGCCCCGGTCCCATCAAGCCGTCAGATCTCTGGGAATTGTCCTCCGAACGCCGCACCCGAGGTCATCAACTCAAAATCACAGTCCGGCGCTGCCAACTGGACACGAGATCACGTTTCTTCTCGGAACGCGTCGTGAACGAGTGGAACGCCTTGCCCGACTCGACGGTCACCTCTACTTCCCTCGCCGAGTTCAAGTCATCACTCCTGAAGGTTCTTGGTGATCGTTTGTTCGACTACATCGTCTGATCTCTCCTGCAAGGTTCTACTGATCATCGCCGCGCACTCCAGATTCCGCGAAGGAGCGAACTAAACAGTACCGTGACAGCCGGTACTGAACTGATACCGCACAGCTAATCACATCTAGAATTTTTCCTTCCCCAACTCCAAGCAGACGCACTACCCCAATCCCCTGCGGTCCATCTCTCAGCGCCCAGCGTAACCAGGGGAATTGGCGCGTCTCTTTCCTACACGGTTTCCTGCCTCTCCTCATGCACTGGTGAGTCAAGGAAACCCAACAGGTGAGTTGAACAGGTGAGTACTTTCTGCCTCTTTCTGGTCTGTTGTCCTATCCCCTTTTGTTAACAAGTTTTATCAATGGGAGAGTTCAGATCTGACTGGCAAAACCTTCCTTAATTCTGTACCCAGTAAATTAAAGTAAGGCAAAAGGTAAAAGTCTTCTTCTGCTCTACAATGTCATACTTTTAGCACATACTTATCATTCTGCCATGAATTGGCAAAGACTTGTTGGGTCACCCAACCTCTGGCCCAACATTACCTCTGACCCAGCATAGTAGCTTTTGCCTTTGCACAGCAGCTTTTTCCTCAAGATCCTGATTAATAAGGTATTGTGGCTAATTGATACCATAATACAACATGAACATGTTTTGATATATGTACTCTGTAATATTCATTTTAGAGCCATTTCATTCCCTTTTTATAATAATTCAGGTGACATCCAATAACATCACAGGCCATAACAATGTACTATGCTGTATATTTATTTGTCTTTTACCTAATTTCTTTTACTAACGGTTCCTGAGGTGACAAATGCACACATATTTGTGTGAATAAGTAGCTGAACTTGATAGGCATTAAACTGAACAGGTTTAATTAAATTGATAAAGCCCAGAAAATATGGTGATGTACATATCTTAGATGATCCTTGAAGTATTTTAGAAGTCCTTGTCCTTTAAATGAGATGAAAAGTTATTTATCCTGCTCCTAACCTCCCTTTTGGCATAGTTTTAAATAATTGCAGGATGACAGAATGAATTGAGACTGAGAGAGCCCTTTATTTGTCATGTTTTCCTAGGCCTCATTGTAACCATTCAACCCTTTGTACCAGGTAAGTCACAATAATCTTTATGAGCATGCATCTGTTATCTTCATAGGCAATCAATCAGTGGTGCCCAAAAATGCGATCAATTATTACATGACCACTTGATCATGAGCTCATTGGTTCACACTGTTGCCCTGCACACCCCCCCCCCTCCCTTCCCCCCATGACACTGTGTGACAGCTTCTGTCCCGCTGCGGTCAGATGGCTCCGACGCAGGGCCAGCCGCCGCGGCTGTCGGCGGCGCTGCGCCAGTTCACCGATGTCTGTCCGCGCCGCGCCGCTCCGCCGCCGGAGGGCGCCGCAGCCGCCGAGAGCGTCCTGGCCCGCCGGCTCCGCCAGAAAGCCGAACAGCAGAAACGGTGGGTCCCGGGTGGGGCAGATTGGAAATGGTGGGTGGGACAGACGGGAGAACGGGAACAGTGAGTGTCATCAGCGATGAATTGGGTACTGTTAAAATGGTGCGTGGGACGAATGGGACAATAGCAACGATCTGTGGGTGGGACGGTGCAGCGTATGTGATGGGTGGGATGGACAGGGCGGGTGAATGGAAAAGGACGAACGAGAGAAGAGCGCAACAGGGAGACGGTGCGATACATTTTGCCATTCACGGCACAACCGGGAGACGGTGCAAGGAGCGGACGAGACAGTGCGAGTGGTCTTTGCCGTTTGGAACTTGTTTGGAACTTTGGAACAGACAGGGGAACGTGAAGTTAAGATTTTCCTGCTTCCATGCGGTCTCACGCTGGGCACACGGTAGTGTCTCGTCGCATCTCTGTATATCAATTAAGTCACACACGTAAAGCCCGTGGGCTCTAATTTATAAAGGCTAAATGTGAACGAAAAAGGTTCATGTCGTTCCTCATTACCTACGCACCACATGACGTATTGTGTCGGCAATGAAGATATTCCTACAAGCTTAATTAAACGATTGGTTGAAAGTGAGAGTTTTGGCGTTTATATAAAAAAAAATGAATAAACGACGACTAATGTTACCGTTCGGATTCGATTCATGTGCAAGCAGCCGGTGCTGGGTTATGTCTCTGACCCGAGATGGCGCTGTCAGTCATCAGAGAGCGCCTGTGGGGTATACTGTGCCGCAGCGCAGCACGTTTATTGGCTGAGAGCCTGCGCATTGAGTGATTCTAAATAAAGCAAGTCGAAACTACCTCGCTCAACCAACGAAATGTGTTTTGCTATGACTTATGGACGCTGCGGACCGTGCGGGACGACCGGCGGCGCCGTTGTGTGATCGATATTCTACGCTACTGCGTCTCGGTGTCCTGGCCGACTGGCCCACAGTGCGTCCGGTCCGTCCGTGGTCCCCATGCAGTTATGTGCTAGGACACGCTGGGGCGTTGAGTTTGGGACGTCTGCTAGCGGCCAGTCAGTGGTATCCCCTGCAAGAAGTTCTCATATGAGATTCATAACGTGGCTCTAGTGCTGACCTCTTTTTCAAGGCCTACTTTTCCGGCGCCGGCTGTGGACCGTTACGTGTTCTGTGGTGCTGAACTGTGTCACGATAAAATACTGAGACGGAATATTTGAAGACACTGTTGAAGCAACTACAATTAAAATTTTCGGTGACTCGACCACGGGACAAATACCAAAAGTTTTCAAAAAAATTAACTGCAGATAACGTTTAAGATTTGCCCAAACCGTCTCTATAAACTCCAACCATGAAGAAGACTGAGAACATGATGCGCGATCTGGAGGACTACTTCCGGATCCGGTTCGAGAATAAGATCGCGATCCGTCCGCGGCGCGAGGACTGTCACCTGGCGGCTGCCACGCGGCTGCTGGCGCGCAAACAGGAGCTGGCAGAGGTGGAGACCGAGCTGCGACGCTGCAAGGCCAACTACAAACAGCGCATGCAGGAGATCTCGGAGGAGCGCGATGTGCTGGAGCAGCGAGACAAGGCGCTGAAGACGTCACTGCTCAAATTCGACAAGTTTCTGGCGGAGAACGACTCGAAGCGCTACCGAGCTTTGAAGAAGGTCGAGGAGGAGCGAGATCTACAGCATGTCAAGGATCGTGAGATTGCGAGGCTGACCGAGGACCTGCAGAAACTGAATGACTCGAAGGCGCTGATCCAGGAGCGGGTGGACGGCAACAAGCCGTTTCAGGATTTCATGGAGCGCGCTGTGGAATCAACTGAGGACTTCGAGGAGGTGCACGACATCATGAACCGGTATGACATCCTGTTCGCCACCAAGCAGCACCTGATGACCAACGAGCAGGCCAACCAGGACCTGGTGGAGGCGGCGCGCATGGACCTCATCGCCTACTCGGAGGACCGCAACACGGAGATCCTGGGCCTCAACAACCGGCTGTCGGAGCTGCAGACGCGCTACGACCGCGCCCAGCAGGCGGTCGTCAGCTGGGAGAACACCTGGACCAGAATCAAAAACACCGCCGCCAAAAAGACTCTGCTGCTGGGCCAGGTAAAGATGGCCATCCACAACCTGTACCAGCTGTGCAACCGATACCACCAGGCGCGCAGCCTGGGGCCCGAGGAGGCGGTGGCCTGTCACGAGCCGACCACCCAGCTGGGACGGGTGCGCGAGGTACTCATGGACCTGCTGTTCATCACGACCGAATGTCGGCGCGCCGAGCAGGCACTTCAGCAGGAGACGGCCGCCCAGGCCAGCTACTGAGCCCAGTTTCTGAGCCGTCCCTCAGATGCGGGCAATGCGAAACTGCTGAATGGTCCAACCGGGCTCTCGGACACGGGCTCTCTCCTGAACCAACCCGAACGGTCTGTGGCCGAACGGCCCGGCGCCGAACTGAGTTACCAGCGGCTGCCGGCCGCCCGACACGTGGGACGGCGCTGCAGGTCTGCTGAATGCGCAAACCATCAATCATGTGTTCAATAAGGAAGCAGCTCACTGGGCTGGATAATATTGTGCTCATGGACTGGTTTGGGTGTGCGAGAGCCATTGCATGTTTCGAGAATGCTGCTCCCTGCTGTCGCTATAGCCAGCTTTTACTACTTGTAACTAGAGATAATAAGATTGTATACAAGTGCATAAACGGCAATGTTGCGCGGTCTGCTTAGAGCCCTGGCCGCCCTTTCATATTGTCATGTAACGAATAAATAGCACGAACGAACTTTGTACGAACGATACTGATGTGGTGACCGAAGCATCTTGGCAGTAGCTCGAGTGTATTTCGAAGCTGCGCCAAATAAGCCATTTTCATATTTGAATTTGCTTTTAGATCGTCGTAATTCATAGGTAGTGCCGCACGGTGTACTGAGTGCAGGCTAGCGAACAACAAAACTGAATACAAGTCGGTTCGAAAACGTCCTTGGGCATTCCTTAGTTTCACAATTTTTTATACGTTTTAATGTAGTCTACGACCACTTGATCTCTTACATCGGCCGTATTAACAACAGTTAAGTGGAATCAAAGCATCAGTTTACAATCGAAATGGACATTTTTGTAGCTGACACGTATTGAGGAAGTTGTCCTTGAGCCGGACTTGCTGGCGGTTCGGCCGTTCGGTTCGGTCGGGTCGGGTCGCTCGGCACCAATGACGCCCACCTGTAACTCCCCCATCTGCAGATGTGCCGGCGAGCAGTGGCACCGGCTGCAGCAGGCGGCCGGGCCCAACTGCCGCCGCCAGCTGAAGCAGCTGCAGCTGGCGGCGCTGGCGGCGCTGGGCGGGGACGCGCCGCCGCCGGCCGTCGAGGAGGCTGCCGTGACGGCGGTGCGGCTGCTGGCCGGCGCCGAGCGGCTGACGACGCCACTACGCCACCAACTGGAGGCCGCGCTGCCGGCCGTGACGGCCGCCGTCGGCCAGCAGCTGCTGCAGGCCGTCCAGGATGCCGTCACCGAGATGGAGCCGGCCGCGCTGACGGCCGCGCTCAGCCCGCCGCAGCCGGCCGACGACGGCCAGGAGGCGGAGTTCGGAGCCTCACTGCGGCTCGGCGGACTGGAGCCGTGTGAGTGGCAGGAGCCGACACTCTCCGACCTCGGCGGCCGGCCCAACGGCACCGCCGGCGCCGACAGCTCCTTCAACATGCTGTACCGCAGCGACACCGCCCCGGAGAAGAAGTCGCTGCCGTACGGGCCCGACTGGCTGGCCGCAGAGCTGTCCCGCGCGGCCGGTCCTAGTGATGCCCTCGACGACCTCAGTCTCGGTGTCTATAACCTGCTCGAATCGAACTCTGACAACGACGCACTCCAGAGCGAGGTAAGCTTCGAACTCTTTGGGTAGTTTAAAGATCGGTAACAATCCAATGCTGTGTTCCGTGTAGCTAGTTGTGCTTTTTCATTACCTTGAATGAAGTTTAAGGCTTGCGTGATTCAGATCCTACCAAAACGCTGTCTTGCTTTGCATTTCCACCATCGATGATAACCCGGCCTCTTATCTATTCCCAGTTGCTGGACCTGTTGGGTTTCGAGCGGATCGAGCTGGTGTCGACGCTGCTCTCCCGCCGCTCTGAGGTGCTCGAGGCCCGATCGGCGGGCGCCTCGCAGCGCAGCGTCTCGCCAAGAACGTTCCAGAAACTGTCGGCACTCGTCAATGGCCGTAAGTTGATATGACGGCCCTGTTTGTACTCGGGTAGCTGAAAAGAGCCATGGGTGGGCGAATCTAAATCTTACTTAGATAGTTTGTTGCTTCATGACCGTTACAGATGCAAGAGCTTTTGCATTTCATATGCTGGCACTCTCGCTAGTGTCAGCGCTAAAAAGTCAACAGGACCGCAAACAAGGCGATAGGGCATGTGCTCAACCATCTTTCCTGCAGCTTATTAATAAGTAGCAGAAGAACCACTTATCTGCTATCTTTTTTCGCTGCTCGACTCGTTAACCACCCGCTGGTCCCCTGACACCCTCTCTCCGTCATTCAGAGAGGCCGGCCAATCTGCCCGGTCAGTCCATCACCGTCCAGTCACAGCGCGAGGTGGAGGCCAGGAAGGCACTCCGACGTGAGGAGAAACGGATGCAGAGGGAGCGGGGTCGACAAACGGCCACCGGACAGGACTCCGAGGCGCCTGTCATACAGCCGGAGCTGGCGCGGGCTCAACGGTGAGATAGGGGAGACGCCAGTCATGCACCATCACCAGTCATGCAGTATATATTAGAGTTCAGTGAGCATCACTCACTTAGCTGAATGAAAATGGAGAGACACCTGTGTGCAGCTTGAGTTTACTAGCACGGGAATAACGATAGAGAATAGTAGGGTAGGGGTCCGGGGGGCAATGAAAGAGTACGTGTAGTGTACCGTCACATTAAATGTATAACCTCTGACCTCTCGTGACCTGACCTGACCTGACCTGACCTCTGTGCCGGCAGTGAGATGGAGCTGCTGCAGGCCATGAGCGCGCCGCTGTTCCCCGACCGGCCGCGGGCGGCGCCGTGTCTCGCCGAGCGACTCCCGTACGTGTTCGACGCCTACAGCCAGGCGCGGCAGACGTCCGCGTTCGTGGCTGGGAACAAAATCAGTCTGCCCGTAGGATGCGAGTGGAGCGATCACAAGCTCTACCAGGCGGTCGAGATTCCCGTGGCCGAACAGGCGCCCACCGGCGTCGGCGATGAGCGGGTGCAGATCAGCACGCTGGACCAGGTGAGGACTGCCGTCGTCTCGGCGTGTTCTCCGCTCGTTCGCTTGTCTCAAGTCCGTCCGTCCGTCCCCTCCCATGCTTTAGACCTGCCGCACCATCCATGTGTCCGTCTGGCGATGTGAACGTTGAGAAGTTTGGATCCGAGCTGGAATTGAGAGAGGGCTGGTTGTGCGTCTGTCGTTTATAACGCCTGGCGACAGATCAGCGGATATGCCGATATTCATTTGTGCATACGGCTGGTTAGTAATTTCTCCCACACGAGCTGTTAACTCACCAGCCTTACCGAACTCGTCCGTCTGCCTCCCCAGATCGGTCAGAAGGCGTTCGGAGGCATTAAGCAGCTGAATAGAATCCAGTCGGTCGTCTTCAAGACGGCGTACGAGACCAACGAGAACCTGCTCATCTGCGCTCCGACCGGAGCCGGAAAAACCAACATCGCCATGCTGACGGTGGTGCACCAGATACGACAGCACATCGACAAGGGCGTCATACAGAGGGACGCCTTCAAGGTGGGTGGCTGGAGAGTCGGAAAGGATGGAGGAACTAGTGTAAGGTTAGAGGTGCATATTGGGTGTCGGGAAGCGCGCGGGGTCGGAAGAGGGGACTTTCGAGTATACCGCCACAATTTTTATCGACGTAGTTATGCTTGCCGAATTTTATTCAAGTATAAGGACATCTTGCCTGTGTTTGCTTTTGGAATGCATTTGGAATGTCTAGAGTGCGTGCCACCTTGCCTGTTCTAAAGTATCTATACGGCCGTCCATATCTGCTCTGTCAGATAGTGTACGTGGCTCCGATGAAGGCGCTGGCGGCGGAGATGACAGCCGGGTTCGGCCGCCGGCTGGCGCCTCTCGGCATCACTGTCAGAGAGTGTACCGGCGACATGCAGCTCACCAAGCAGGAGATCATGCAGACCCAGATGCTGGTCACCACGCCCGAGAAGTGGGATGTGCTCACCAGGAAAAGCACAGGTCAGCTGGAATCCATTGCCTTGCCGATATTTTAACCACAATTGCTTGAATATCTGGTGAAAAATGTCGTGTAATTGCTAGCAAATATATATTATGTACGTCGTACGAAGCGATTGACTGCGAGTGCGGTGCTCGGAGCGGTGCGGTGTTACGGAACGCTAGCAGCCACTTAGTGATGTGTGGTAAGCGGACGTATCGCAGGGTGATGACGAGCTGTTTTCTGCGCAGGAGACGTGTCGCTGACGCAGCTGGTGAAGCTGCTGATCATTGACGAGGTACACCTGCTGCACGGAGACCGTGGTCCTGTGGTCGAAGCTCTCGTGGCCAGGACATTACGACAGGTAAGTTACCGGAGACACGTCTTGGTGCGAGTTTATGTACAGGTACCTACTCGACTGTTCACAATTGGAAGGTATAGCCGTATGTCCTGAATGAATGTTCCGTGAATCAATTGTTATGTAACTCTCTTATCACGGCTTTACGGTCATGAAAAGATGGCCACTCCCCCTTCACGACATTACTAAATATGCTCGCTTGTCGTCAGGTGGAGTCGTCGCAGAGCATGATCCGTATCGTGGGTCTGTCGGCCACCCTGCCCAACTACATAGACGTGGCAGAGTTTCTTCGGGTGAACCCCAGGAGGGGACTGTTCTTCTTCGACGGACGGTGAGCCCAAGCTGAGAGAATTCTACATGTTTGAATAGTTGCGCCTATCACTCTTGCCTGGTGTTGCAGGAGTTCTAAAGTTGTTTCTACTAGCATGATAAAAATGGGAAGATTTAGAGTTAAAGTCAGAATATCCCAAAGTGCTGTATTCAGAATGGGTCTGCGCTCTCGCATTCTTTTTCTTGCGCTGTTGTCGCGTATAATTTCTGTCCTACCCCGCCCACCGTGTGTTCTCCCTGACCTGACCTTGCCTGCGACAGGTTCCGTCCGGTGCCGCTGGGCCAGTGCTTCATCGGTGTGAAGGCGCTGAACGCCATGCAGCAGATGAACGACATGGACACGGTCTGCTACGAGAAGGCCTTCGACATGGTCAGCAAGGGCCACCAGGTGAGTGCTCTACCTCGGCGGTACCGTTTGTCCTCGGTCAGTGCCGTCAGTCCAGTCACGGCCTGGTCCAGACGGTTGGGAAGGACAGAGATGTCCGAGGCCGAGCGACTGGCGGCGCTCTCCGGGTCTCTGGTCCAATGGTCTCGTCAATACGAACTCGAGGCGTTCGGAAGAGGTCTGTTCCAGGAACTAGCGGTTCATTGGATGATGGCCTTTGGTATTAGCACGGTTCTTCGGTAATGTCCCGTCGAGTCCATCGTAACACCCAACTTTACATCAGCCGTCAACCAGTGAGGTCCCATACCCACCAAACGGCTGCACCCCTCTGACCCCTCCCTCCCCTCTCCACCTCAGGTGATGGTGTTCGTTCACGCCCGTAACGCCACGGTACGGGTGGCCACCCGTCTGCGCGAGATCGCCAAGCAGCGCGGCCAGCTGGGGCCGTTCAGAGCCGAACAGTCGCCGCAGCTCGGGGCCGAACAGAAGAACGTTCAGAAGAGCAAGAACCGCCAGCTGAGGGAGCTGTTCGATGACGGGTTCGCCATGCACCACGCCGGCATGCTGCGTCAGGACAGGTGAGAGGCGCGGCGCTGTAGGATGTGTGACCGGGGCAGGGGAACGTTTGTGGTGGGCACTGTGGAGACAGAACAGTGAAAGGGGCTGACCGCCTCCGAGTATGACGTGCTCAACGTAAACGGCATTATTCTTCGTACTATTGTTGCCATTTCTGCATTTCTTGGCTTGATGCCCTTCAAAATATTTGCGAGGGATTTTAGCACACAGCTCTTTTGTGATGTTTCAACATCGTCGGCTCTGTTTCTGAGCTTCACGAAAGTCTCATACATCACCTGACGTCGGACTGCTGCGTCGTCCACTCACTTCTCAGGAACCTGGTGGAGCGGCTGTTCTCTCAGGGGATGATCCGCGTGCTCTGCTGTACGGCCACGCTGGCCTGGGGAGTCAACCTGCCCGCCCACGCCGTCATCATCAGGGTTAGTACGACTGGGGTGGAGGATGATAGTGATGTCAGTGATATTGTGTGGCCAGGTCATTGTCCTGTGACATTAATGAGTACGAACTGATTATAGAAACAAAGAAAAAAACTAATGGATTTTTTCACTTAGTGAAAAAAGATGAAGAGTAGTCTTCTCTTCACCCTTGTTAGTCGCTGATCGTCTCTTAAGATTAGAATCGCTCCCCTGTCTGTTTCCTCTCTGACGGCTGAGCCCTCGGCAGGGAACCGACATCTACGACGCCAAGCACGGTTCGTTCGTCGACCTGGGAGTGCTGGACGTGATGCAGATTTTCGGCCGCGCCGGCCGGCCCCAGTTCGACCGTTCCGGCCACGGAACCATCATCACCACTCAGGACAAGCTGTCGCACTATCTGTCACTGCTGACCAACCAGTACCCGATCGAGAGCAGCTTCACCAACCTGCTGGCCGACAACCTCAACGCCGAGGTGGGTAGATTGTCTAGGTGGGGGCGTGTGAAGTAGAGGATATGAGGGTTGTGATGTGTGAGTTCAGGCAATGGAAGACCACGATTGCATGTTGGGATACAAAATATGTGATAAGGATTTATTGGGTCGGTACTGGCCTTGAGGAACAGTGTTGAACAATCTGCCCTGCAGCATTGTTTCGACTTGGAGGTTTTCGCTGTACTCTGCAGCCTGTCCCGAGGTCTTGTCTGTGGCTGTATTCACTTCACCATGACTGGTTTCCCTCGTCACTAAAACGTTTCCAGCCACGCACACCACGATCATCTGTTCACCGGAGACGGTTCACTGAACTAACGTCCCGCGTCTGTTCCCAGGTGGCGCTGGGCACGGTCACAAATGTCGAGGAGGCCGTCCAGTGGCTCAGCTACACGTACCTGTACGTGCGCATGCGTAAAAACCCTCAGGTGTACGGCATCAAGCCCGACGAACTGCAGGTAAGCTGGATATTGCGTCGGAAGTTTTCTGGCCAAGACGAGGCGTCGTTAGGCTACCCACAATGTAGGTAGCTTAGGTAGACGCGCCCATTTGCAAATTCACTGGGTCGACTGTGCATGCGTAATGTTTCATGTCACTATACCATTCAAAGCTTAGCTTTATTCAGTCATAATTCTGGTCTGACCCGAGTCCCAGCCATATGCAGCATCTGACGTCTAAACCTCTGACCTTTCCTGACCTGACTTGTGACGATGTCGTTTCGCGGCAGGACGACACCCAGCTGCTGATCCGGCGACGTCAGCTGATCGAGAGCGAAGCCGCTAAGCTGGACAAGGCGCTGATGGTGCGCTACGACCCACGAACCACCTATCTGGACGTCACAGGTGAGAAGAGATGGTTATCCTCCAATTGGACGTTATATATCTCCTACTCTCACTAACTACCCCTCCCCCTGACTCTCATTTCACTGGCTGGAGGATGGGTCCGACAGAACCTCTTCCCACCAGCTAGATCTTGTGATATGCCGCACACAGCTGTTGAGGTTTAAAATCAACAACAGAGGCTTAAAATCAACAACACTTTAAATAGACCTTCTAACGGCTCGTTACCCCGTCTCTGGTTCCCAGTCATTGTATGTCTGCCGTTTAATTCTGTGCGGTGCTCTGACTCCGATGCGGCGCTCTGTCCGTATCTTCAGACCTGGGCCGGATCGCCAGCCACTACTACATCAAGTACGACACGGTGATGGTGATCAACGAGCGGATCCAGTCGTCCATGTACCAGCGGGACATCCTCGCCATGATATCGCAGTCGTCCGAGTTCGAGCAGATCAAGGTGAATGGGCGGACGGAGCGACGAGGAGGCGGCAAGAATTTGGGGAGGCTGGAGAGGTACATGTGAGAGTAGAGAGACTGTCATGAGGCGGGATAACTTCTGTTTTGGGTAGGGACGGGCTGTTAGTTTCCAGTTCTTCTTTCAACTCAGCACTTGCGGGGTCTAAAGTGGCATGGAAGGTGAGGTAGACCTTCACTGATATTTGGTTCCTCGTGTTTTATACCAACGCTGTGCATGTTTTGCTCCTCATTCAACATTGCGTGTCTTGACGCTTTTTTGCCGTAGCGCATGCATCGATTCTGACACTATGTGACGCCCGTGACGGCGGCAGGTGCGTGACGACGAGCTGGACGAGCTGGACCGTCACATCCACGAGGACTGCGAGGAGCCGGTACTCGGCGGCTCGGAGAACGTCCACGGCAAGGTCAACATCCTCATCCAGACGTTCATCTCGCGCGGACGCATCGACTCGTTCTCGCTCGTCTCCGACATGAACTACATCGTCCAGGTAAGAAATTGTACAGATGAATAGATATCTTAAGGGTGAGAAGATACCGTTCAACTGGACATTATACTTTGCTGATTATACAGGGTGGCGCCTATAAATGAAGACAATATATGCTCCACACAAAATATACATTTTTTGGCAAAAGTCAGTACTTTGGATGAAAGCTTGGAACTGGGGTGACTGATGGCGACCTGTCGAGCACACTTCACTCGATGAATCCCCCTCCGCGTCGATGACGGCCTCGATGCGCGGCTTGAACCGGGCGCAGGCCTTGGTCAGCATGGTCTTGTCCATCTTGACCATCATCTGCTTGATGGCTGACTTCAGAGAGTCAATATTGTTGTGTGGGTGTTTGTTAGTGTCCCTCTCGACTACGCCCCAGACGTTTTAGTCGAGCGGGTTCAGGTCCGGGGAGTTTGGCGGCCAGAACTCGGGCGTGATGTGGCTGTGCACGTTGCCGGTCATCCTCTCCTGCGTCATCCTGGCCTTGTGGGCGGTTACAGAGTCTTGTTGGAACACATAGGGCCTTCCTCAGCCACTCGGTCGATCCAGGGCTTTGCGACGTCACCGTCATCGACGGTGACGTCGACGTCGGGTCATCGTTGACGACGTTCTCGACTTTGCAATGAAATCGTCGTCTCTGACGGCATCAGATCGTCGGGGATGTTTCTTCCGCTTTGCCACAGCGGGACGTCGCCCACAGACTCATCCAAGCTCCGCTCGACTTTATAATCATGGCTTCTGTCGACCTTGAGGAAGTTGGCGACCTCGGGTGCCTCGCTGCCGGCGTGAAGCGCCACAATGACTGCGTGCCTTTTCATTTCTTCCGTTATAATTTTCAGCTGCAACGTTCCCTTTTGCTATGGACAACAATTTACATAAAGCATGGAACATGAATGCAAAAAATTATTGCTCTGCACAAAACAGTTTCCTCGTAACACAGGTTTGAAATTTGTGGTTATTTACCGGCGCCACCCTGTAGCTAGTAGCTGATGACTATGGTTGGCGGTCTAATACAGGGTGAAGTAAAGAGAGAATGTGAGATGGCTAACACGTATTTAACATTTTGCAGTTATTCTGACTCGGTTATTTCGTTCGTAACTCCACTCGTTACTTGCTACCAACCGCGGCTGACCCACGTATCGCCCTGTTCTCTCTCCACCGCAGAACGCCAAGCGCATTGTGCGCGCCGTGTTCGAGATCTGTCTGCACAAGCACTGGCCGCTGGTGTCTGCGCACGTGCTGCAGCTCAGCCTGCAGCTGGAGCGCCAGCAGTGGGCCTCGGAGACGCCGCTGCGCCAGTGCGGCGGCGAGCTGAACGCCCTCATACTGGAGAAGCTGGACCAGCGCAACCTGCGGCCAGACGACGTGCGCGAGATGGACGTCAAGGAGCTGGGTAAGTGATGGGGATGGTCGGGGACGGAGGGAAGCGACAGGCGGGTGGCTGGGCAGGATGTGGTGTGTTATGATTTAGAGGGAGATACTTGAGTAGAAAAAGTCATTGAAAGACACTTTGGTAAAGACCACAGACTGCCTGACTGGTGACCACTGGCTTCTGAGCACGGTGTAGTGAACACTGACTTCTCAGCATAGTCTAGTGACAATTGCCACATCTTACTGCTGACCACTGATCAATGACTGACTGCTGACCGACCGCTGACCAGTGACCACCGACCACTGAGCACTGACCAGCTGTTCACTAACCATTGATCACTGACCTGACTGTGTTCAGGTTTTCTGATCCGGGACCAGAAGAAGGCGCCTGCCATCCGCCGCGCGGCCTCGGAGATCCCTGCCGTGACCCTGGACGCCAGCGTGCAGCCCATCACCCGGCGGGTGCTGCGAGTGAGGCTGACCATCACACCGGACTTCAGGTGAGTGGATAGAAGGAATTTCACCTCATCACACCGGGTCCGACTGACCGTCACACCGGATCTTAAATGAGTGGAGGTGACTTCACATCACCCGCCGACCATCACACCGGACTTTAGGTGAGTAGAGGTGACTTCACATCAGCACACGGCCGGTCCAACTGACCATATTCACACCGGACTTCAGATCACTTCAGATTACGTGACACTACCACGAGTCTGACAGACCATTACACTGGAATTCAGGTGAAACTATTAGATTGGGCCGGAGCTGATGACGTTGATGTGAGGTGATGACGTAAAAGCTTTGTTCGACAGATGGAGTGACCGAGTGCACGGCAAGACGTCCGAGACGTTCATCGTGTGGGTGGAGGACCCCGACAGCAATTACATGTACCACCACGAGTACTTCATCCTGCAGAAGAAACAGGTCAGTCGACTGCCGCATCGTTACTGTCAAATGACTAGTTAGCAAAGTACATAGACAATCATGGCCGGCCAAGGGACAAACGTAGAGTTCTCTTATGAAGCGCTATCCTAACACAAGTTATAGCCGATGGTAATTTTTCACTCGTGTGTGGTACTGTTGCAGCTGCATCCAAACTAACCACGCCGTTAGTCACACATGACACAACGGTTAGTCACAACCGCCCCACTGACATATTGACGTCTCCAGGGTTTCCACATGACATATTATACCATAGACCACAACCGCCGCCCCACAGCCTCTCGCCCCTCTGACGCTCCCCGTCGTCCCCAGGTGCTCCGCGAGGAGCCACAGTCACTCGTGTTCACGATCCCGATCTTCGAGCCGCTGCCGGCGCAGTACTACATCCGCGTGCTGAGCGAGCGCTGGCTGGGCTCTGAGGCGGTGCACCCGCTGTCGTTCAAGCACCTGATCCTGCCCGACCGTCACCCGCCGCACACAGGTAAGGAGCAGGTTAATGGTGGTGGGTGGAGGACGCTGTTTGGCTGCCTACCGTGTCTGATTCTCATTTTGAAATAGGTACTTCATTGTCTAAATCATTGTGGCACGAGTGTAGTTATTTTGCGTTATCTCATATGTGCGATATGATATATTCGCAGAATTATTATTTACAACAGTGCCTAGCCCACCTTGGCGCTAGGTGGGTGGATTGATCAGACCTGATATCTGTCCCTCACAGCGGCGCTCCCACCTGACTTTCCGGCCTACCAAACCGTACCTTTCAGACCTGCTGAACCTGCGGCCGCTGCCGGTCTCGGCTCTGCAGAACATCCACTACGAGAGTCTCTACGGCTTCACCCACTTCAACCCGATCCAGACGCAGCTGTTCCACGCGCTGTACCACTCGGACTGCAACCTGCTGCTGGGGGCGCCCACCGGATCCGGCAAGACCATTGTCGCAGAGATCGCCATGTTCAGGGTGTTCACTCAGATGCCCAAACGAAAGGTGGGTGAGATTGCGGACAACAGCGCGACGATTGTAAGTAAGACTGCTGTTGCTCTGTTTTGAGATAGATGATGTGAATATTATTTGATATTCCTTATGATAATGTTTAAATGTTTTGCTTATGAACTTTGCTTTAAAACATCAACTCGTGGTCAATGTCCGTCGAATTCTTTTTTACGCGACCTTAAGCTCGTCAACTCTTTTCGGCCCTTGCAGTTGCAGTCTGCCCGTCCCCGTGTCTGACGGCTGTCCTGCCCCGCCCGTCCGCAGGTGGTGTACATCGCGCCGATGAAGGCACTCGTTCGGGAGCGGATGAACGACTGGCGCGAGCGGCTGCAGAGGAAGCTCGGCCTTCGTCTCGTGGAGCTGACCGGCGACGTAACGCCCGACGTGCGGGCCATCCAGTCGGCGGACGTGATCGTCACGACGCCCGAGAAGTGGGACGGTGTCAGCCGCAGCTGGCAGACGCGCAACTACGTTCAGGACGTGGCGCTCATCATCATCGACGAGATTCATATGCTCGGTAAGGCTGGGTGGAGGTTGACAGATGTGATGAGGGAACGGACAGGGATTTCTGAAGGTGGAAAGGTAAGAACTTATAGGAGGCTTGAGAGGTACGATAAGTGATTTGTTATTGCTATCCAGACTGGTACTTCAGTGTTCCAAGAAATGTAATGGTCTGATGAATTAGTAGCATGTTGTGAAAGTGCTTGTGACGTAAACTCATACGCCCTCTCTGATAGTTGCGTGACGATCCATCTTAATGTCTATCCTTTTTCTGCTTTTCAGGCGAGGACCGCGGCCCGGTGCTGGAGGTGATTGTCTCTCGGACCAACTTCATCTCGTCCCACACCCAGCGCCAGCTGAGGATCATCGGACTGAGCACGGCCATGGCCAACGCCGCAGACCTCGCCTCCTGGCTCAGTACGTAATAAATGGATGGTAGGGACTAGGGAAACTGTAGGTTCTGTACTTCTACGCTTTGGGTAGGGCGTCCCAGTGTGGATTTTGGCTGAACGGTAGTCCTGTTTATTGGTATCATCCTATCTGTTTAGGAAGCTTTAACACTTTAAATTGTTTATTCGTTTTCATTCGAATGTGTATTGTGAAAAATGGAAGGCACACTTGCTCGTGATCGGCGCCCCGAGGGAAGGCCGTATTTAGCTTTGTTCTCAGTCTGACCCCGCAGACATCCGAAGGGCGTCGTACTGTGTAGCTTTCGGCCGATGATGCTGCCGTGAGCTGACCTTTGACCTGTGACCCCTCAGACATCAAGGGCGTCGGCCTGTACAACTTCCGGCCGACGGTACGGCCGGTACCGCTCGAGATCCACATCCATGGATTCCCGGGCAAACACTACTGCCCGCGGATGGCCACCATGAACCGGCCCACCTTCAAAGGTAAGCAGTCTGATACGGGCGTTACAGCCGACAGCGGGCCATCTATGCGATATGTAGACTCGCCGGGTGGATCAAACACTATTGTTGAGCGGGACGGCTGTTGAGCGGAGCGACTCTCTGACGGAACGGCTCACCCCTCGGCAGCGATCCAGACGCACTCGCCGGAGAAGCCGAGTCTGGTGTTCGTCTCGTCCCGGCGTCAGACGCGGCTGACTGCCCTGGACCTGATCGCCTACCTGGCTGCCGAGGACAACCCCAAGCAGTGGCTGCACATGGACGAGGCAGAATTACAGCCCAAACTGGATGGTAAGGGAGGGGAGGGAAGGGAGAGAGGACAACCCCAAACCGTGGGAGGGAAGAGGGAGGGGAGGACAACCCCAAAGAGTGGGAGGAGAGGGGAGGGACAACCCCATACAGTGTGGGGGAGGGGGAGGGGGGAGGGACAGCCCCAAACAGTAGCTGTACGTGGATGGGTCAGAAATGTAGCCAAAACTGGATGGTATGCTTATGCCTGCAGGGTAGTTGTGCATCGTTGTTCTCATCTGTTTTCACTGCCATGACTCACTTTAGAGGTAAAAGGGATTGTTGAAGTTTGATCTTCTCTGCGCCACTTGGTCAGCTAGCGCTGCATGCTTCCCTGACCTGTGTTTTTGATCTACCGATGACCTGTCCTGACCTGCGCCGATGGCCTTCGCTCTGACCTGTCGATGACCCCGCTCTGACCTGTGCCGTTGTTGCCCTGCCTCACCTTGCAGAGGTGCGTGACCCGAACCTGCGTCTGACGTTGGCGTTCGGCATCGGCATCCACCACGCCGGTCTGGTCGAGTACGACAGGAAGCTGGTCGAGAAGCTGTTCGTCGAACAGAAGATCCAGGTCGGTGGCCGCTGGTGGTAGTTGGACCGTGTTCTCCGGCGTGTAGGCTGGATCGTGTTGTATTTGTAATTTATAGTCACGACCACGTTATATGCTGGCTGTTGAATGGTCTTTATGGATATTGGTCTAGACTTGGCCATTATCGTAATAACTTGAGGTAAAGCTATTTTTGCTCGTCATTAGTAGGTCAATATAAGTGCATGCAGACCACTTGATGTCACGTCAGCCACAGCTAGTTTGCTGCTGCATTTCTGACAATTTCTCTTTTTCCCCAGGTGCTCATCGCCACTGCTACGCTGGCCTGGGGCGTCAACTTCCCGGCCCATCTGGTCGTGGTGAAGGGCACTGAGTACTTTGACGGCAAACAGAAACGCTACGTCGACTTCCCGATCACGGGTGAGTGATGCTTCGGACTGGCCGGTTCGGGTGGAGTGGGATTGGGTCGGGTGGAGTGGTCACACTAATTATTGACTAAATACCCACGATATCTGTCTGGGGTGTACGAGATACTGCCTCGCAGACTGTATGTCGCTGCTGAGTAATCGGGGATTCTTATAGTAGACTGGCAGTGCAGTGGCACGTATGTTCGATCATGTGCAGCGTATGCTGGATAATGATTTAAACTGTATTTCCATGCGAAGTTTTTTTAGCATACGAATTATGATGGCGACAATTTCGTATGCATTTCAACGAGACATATGACGTTACCAGCTCCTGCCGCGCTGACCCAAATGTGGGCGCTGCTGTCATCCCCGTGCTCCACTCACCGTACGGTGCTCTGTGCTCGGGCAGACGTGCTGCAGATGATGGGCCGCGCCGGTCGGCCGCAGTACGACGACAACGGCGTGGCCGTCGTGCTCGTGCACGACCAGAAGAAGCACTTCTACAAGAGCTTCCTGTACGAGCCGTTCCCCGTGGAGAGCAGGTGAGACAACACGCAGGCTCCATTCCGCCGTTATTAGGGTTTTATCTTGTCAACTACCTACCCTTCTGTCTGTCTTCCTTTTTTTTTACCTCTTGTCGCTCCTTCCTTAAAGATCACTGGGAGTACGTCGATTCGCCTCTAATTTTGCCGTACTGACCGTCACCCCCAGCTGACGATGTCTGACCACCTGACCGTGTAGCTCACACTTCGCCGTTCTTATCCTGATGAACGTGCTGCCCGACCACCTCTCATTCTTACCCGTAACCCAGCTGCCATCAGCAGCTGACCGCGTCTAACGCTCTGATAACGCATAACCTGCTCTCTCATCGCTCTCAGTCTGATGAACGTGCTGCCCGACCACCTGAACGCCGAGATCGTGGCCGGCACGCTGCAGAGCAAGCAGGACGCCATCGACTACCTCACGTGGACGTTCTTCTTCCGGCGCGTGCTGCAGAACCCCACCTACTACGACCTCGAGTCCACCGACGGAGATTCGGTCAACAGGTAACGGAGTCATCAGGGTCAGATGAACGTGGTGTTGATGGTGGCGATAATATGACTCCGATGTGCCCTGCTCGAGCAATATCATGCCATCATGCCAACAGAGGCGCACATCATGTCAAATGAAATAACCTGATTAGCGTGGAATTGTATGGTATTGAAAGCTATGCCCGAAGTCTTGTTGAGGATACCCGACATTCATGCCTGTAAGACACTCTTTCCTCTAAATCTGACCTGTTTCTTGTTTTGCTTCTCAGGTACCTGTCTGAGGTGGTGGACGGAGCCGTCAACACCCTGGAGCAGAGCGGCTGTGTCGAGGTGGACGCCGTAAGTGTACTTCACTTTCCACAGACTGCAAAGTGTTCACGTCTTATCAGGGAAATTAATTTAGTTATAGTGACGGTGTATCCTATTCATTTTTCTGATCACTTAACTACCTATCTCCATTATTTAATCCCTGACTCTTGCAATTTTATATCGTTACAAGATTGATAATTTATCTACTCTTCGTCATTTTTGCTAAGATGCTACAAGCATTCACTCAGCGCCACATGAGACTTCCAACTGACTTAGCTCGCCTTCTACCCTCCCGTCAGGACAACCGGGGTCTGTACGCCACCGTGCTGGGCCGTATCGGCTCGTTCTACTACCTGAACCACCGCACCATGGAGCTGTTCAGTGAGCGGCTGGGCGCCGACACCTCCGACCACGACCTGCTCAAACTGGTCTCGGACGCCTACGAGTATGACGAGATTCCGGTCCGACACAACGAGGACATCACCAATGGGTGAGTCGGTGGAGTTGTCGGAGAGGGGTGGGGTGTTGGTACTGGTAATGTGTGTTGTCGGGTTGCGCTGCGTCTGGAGGCGGCGGGTGGCAGGAAATAAAGGTGAGACTCACAGGCCGTGGCAGACTCAGCGGATTGGTTTGCCTTAGTGTTGCGGTGTCTTAAACAGCAAGAAAGTCACCGAGTTTCTTGAACAGACGGGGTTCTTGAGTCTGGACAGCATCTCGGCACTTTATTCGTTTGACACATCCCCCTCCGTGCCTGTCCCCCAGAGGCCTGACAGCCCAGTGTCTGCTGGTGACCCAGTGTCCGGTGGTAACATCCCCTTCCCCGTCTGTCTGCAGTGAGCTGGCGGCCCAGTGCCCGGTGCCGGTGGACAAGTACAGCTACGACTCTCCGCACGTCAAGACGCACCTGCTGTTCCAGGCGCACTTCTCGCGCCTCCGACTGCCCATCGCCGACTATGTGACCGACCAGAAGTCGGTGCTGGACCAGGCGATCCGCGTGTGCCAGGCGCTGCTGGATCTGGTGGCCGAGTCGGGCTGGCTGGCCACCACCGTCAGGGCCGTTCAGCTGCAGCAACAGGTGCGAGATGGGTGGGCAGGCGGGCCAGGAGGGAAGGAATGGGCGAGTCGACAGCGTATCGAATGGGCGGGCCGAATGACTGACCGATTGGCGTATAGCGTGATGATGTGACTGCCACCAGATGCTCACACCAATGTGAATAATGCGAAAGACAGACAGTCGTCAAACTTAGCAGAATATCGCAAAAATGTTATTGTTGTACATACTTTTCATGATGCAGTGATACGGAAATGTGCCTCGGACTGCTGCAGTGGTTTGATTCCCCCCCCCCCCCCCCCCCCCCCGGACTACATGCATGTCAGCTGACCGCACCGGCGTCTGTTCTCTGCAGCTGATCTAGGCGCGTTGGGTGACCGACTCGCCCCTTCTAACATTGCTGGTCTGTGTATGTGTTTTACAGCTGATCCAGGCGCGTTGGGTGACGGACTCACCCCTGCTAACGCTGCCGCACCTGGAGAGCGGCCAGCTGCGCCTGCTGGGTCGGCTCGACTGCCTGCCGCGCTTGGTGGAGGCGGCCGGCGGCGGCGGCGACCGGAAGGCGTTCAGCGCCGTCCAGGAGAGACTGGCGCAGCACATGGACGGCTGGCAGCTACAGGAGGTGGGTGCCTGGTCTGACGACAGTGACAAGCCATGGATGGCTGTCTGATGACTGTCTGGGGTACTGGAGAGAGAGTTGGTCTGCGCCATAGTCATAGTCGTTTATTATAATTGATCCGCATGGAACAATTATATTACGAATTCCGTCGGGCAATTTACAGAAAATGTACTAATGAAACGATCGCTACCAAAACATGTAAGATTAATCGAGTGCATGTGAAAGTGTGCCTGTCTGGAGTGTAGTCTGCGGACCGTCTGACGGTCAATCGGTCTGTTCACAGCTGAACGACGCTCTCCGCCGGCTGCCCCGGATGCGTCTGTCGGTGGCCGTCGAGGGCTGGTGGGAGGCGTCTGCCTCGGCCGAGCGGCGGCCGATCGCGTGCCGCCAGCAGCCGGCACAGCCCACCTGGCTGGACCTGCACGCTGACCAGGAGTACACGCTCCAGGTGGAGCTGCGCAGACTCAACCCGCCACCAAAGGTCAGTGACGCCCGCAGACAGCGGCGGCTGGGATGGGGCCGGCAGCACGTTGTAAGGAACGTGAGCTAATAGTGCGTCACACCTCTCCTGATTTTGATATTGAGCGCGCTCTGTTAGCGTTCTTTGGTCGCTGCCTGTGGCATAAATTAATTGGTTTAATATAACTGTGACGCAACTATACTATTCTAGTCTTGTTGATACACGGTATCTGTTTTTTTTTTTATAAGGCTTGCTGGCAAGCCATAGCAGAATATGATTCCCTGTTAGTGGGCTTCAGATAATAATAGTGATTGTAGTTCCCTGATCATATGCGGTCTTGTCGGTGAGGTGAGTCGATCAATACCACTCGGTGTCCCGTTTTTCACCTCCTCCCCTCTCACCGGTCCGTGTGCGTTGTTCCAGGAGGGCCGGGCGCTGGCTCACGCGCCCTGCTTCCCCAAGCCCAAGGACGAGGGCTGGGTGCTGGTGCTCGGCGAGGCAGACTCGGGCGAGCTGCTGGCGCTGAAGCGAGTGGGCGCCGGCCGCGGACGGTGCGCCGCGCCGCTGGCGTTCCGGACGCCGGCCGAGCCGGGCCGGCATATCTACACGCTGTACCTACTGTCAGACAGCTACCTGGGCCTGGACCAGCAGTACGACCTCTGGCTGAACGTGGTCGAGCCGTCGGTGTCGGCACAGGTCAACGGCGAGCTCGGAGACCTGGAGTAGGGTCGGCCGGGAGAGGGGGCAGGGGTGCTGTGTTTACGGGCCAGGAGATGGACTGGTTGACGAGAGGATTTGGAGCACAGAGGGGAGCCGCAGGACAAGCGAGATCGGAAAAACAATCGGTGGATTCGAAGTGCTAGAACGCGTTCTTGAGGCAGACAAATGTGTCATATGAGCTGCGAATAACCAAGAAATTGTTATGTTCAGGAGCGTTACGCTGTCTCAGTTCGAAGCGAAGGGACTGATACAGATGAAGGAACTAGCACTGGCTGTTATTGGGTCCACGACAGAAGATGGAATTGACACATCTTCAAACGTGCGTTTCGTTAACCGTCCCGGGTGGGTCAGTACCTGTTACGATGTTTCTGTGCGTGCGATGGCACGGAGTCGCCGGTAGTGACACGTGGGGGCCACCGGGGCTCCGGCAGTCCAGACGGCAGGGCTTTCCTTGTTACGAGTGCTGCGACGGTCGCAGGTGGTTTTGTATTGTGTGTGCTTCTGGCTCGGTGTGGCGAGTTCACTGGTGTTTATACTGCGCGTGGTTTCATGTGACCCGTGCGGAGAAGACTGACAGGTCGAGAGGTCAGTGCTGTTTCCCCAACGTGATAGGGTATCACAGTAAGGCCAGAGTGCACAATGCCTCACTGTTCGTTGACCAGAAGCTTTATATGATTGTCTCTTCTTATCGTATGATTTTGTAAAAAGTCATCAACTATGCATTGGACCGAATGGCGGATGGCGGGATCTGTGATACCCCAGCAATTTCCACAGCCGCTTCGCCGGAGGTCACAGCTGTGTGTTGTCCATGTCATCCGTGTTGCGACACTGACATACCAGCAAAGCCTGTGTGATTTTGTCACGCCATGAGCGACAGTTTATCACACCCGCCAGTGCGTCGGTCCTTGCGAGCCCACAGTTGAGTATTATAGCCCAGTGACACGTTGAATACAGTGGTGATCGGAAAGCTGTTTTGTTATGTGCATCCGCTCAGGTGATGTGTAGTAATAGTAAGCCCGCCCGAGTTGACCTACAGAACCTGGCTTACCGTCCCAGACACCTGCTAGTCGCAGCTCTCAGCGTTGGCCAACACTCGCATGGTTTCCTAAGGAACTTTCCAATCTGTAAATTATTTCAGCTTTCGGTCGGGTAAGTAGTCATCCCGTTTTTGTAACCAAGAATATGGTGGTTGAGTCTGCGATATGCCGGACAAAGGGAAGTAGGTAAATCCTTGTAACTGACAGTTCTTCGGACGGCTATTGCTGCCTATCGTTTACCGTTTAGCGTTTACTATCGTTTACCGCTCGCATGTCATTCGACGAATCCTGAACCCAATCGCACTCTGAATTCACAATCGGTTGCGCTCATTCACACCAGATCCGGCATTGATAATGCTTTCCAGCAACAGACAGACTCCGTTCCATGAGGGTGCCCGAGGAGTCAAACAAAGGTCCGGTTTGGTACGCGTGTTGCGTCAAAAGTAATGATGGAAGATGCTACAGGTAATCGGCCGATAACGGCCATTACCAACATGTGTTGAGCGGGGCGTCAATTCTTGCCAACACGTGCTTTGTGATCCGTGTCCCAATCTAAGGAGGAGAGTTTAGGAAACCTCTGGAACAACATAAGCCGGATATGAGTAACCGGCTTACAACCGCGCCCTCCCCGTTCACCTCACACCCCACAGTCCCGTACAGTCAGCTCGGCCGTCCCAGGCCTTGTAGCGGCGCCGTTGCGGAGCGTCGGCGGCCGAGCTGGCGGAGACCAAGCATACTCGCATGGATAACTCGACCAACCCCCCTTCCCCCACTCTTACCAATCCTTCGGCCTCGGCCGATCCTCGCCCGTTGGCCTCGGCCGACAGGCGAACGGTGCTCGACAAAGGTCCACGATCTCCTAAGATCCTTATCTTCCGGAGCGCAGACAGGGAGCTGAGCTCTCTGTCGCCCTTCCACCGGAAGGATGGCTGTGACCGGTTTGGTTCGATCGTTCGTTGTGACCGGATGCGTGATGGCGCGCTGGAGGTCGAGTTCAGGAAAAGCGAGGAGGCGGCGAAAGCGTTGGACGCTACTCGCTTCGTGTTCTCCGAGGGACGGGCATCCGGCCGGAGGCTCGTCTCCATCCCGCTTACAGTGGAACCTCACCGATCTAAGAACTCCTCACGAGGGGTCATTAACTGTTTCGATCTGAGGGGAGTGAGCGACGAGGACATTGCGGACGGGCTCGCTGATTTCGGCGTGACAGCGGCTCGCCGCATCATGACGAAGAGAGGCACGGTCTCGACCAACAACATAATTCTGACGTTTGACTCCACTGACTTGCCGAGTGAGATTCGCGTGGGCTACGTGAAGGTTCGCGTGCGGCCTTTCGTCCCAGCGCCCATGCGCTGCTTCCGCTGCCAACGTTTCGGCCACACAAAGGATAACTGCCGAGGAAGACCCACGTGCTCCAAGTGTGCTTCGCAGGACCACACTGACGAAACCTGTGACTCGGAGACCCCCCGATGCGTCAACTGCGGAGAGGGGCAGACGCCGCACTCCGCGTATGATAGGTCTTGCCCTGCATACGTCAAGGAGAAAGAGATCATGACCATCAAGGCTACCAGAAATTTGTCTTTCAAAGAGGCCCGGGAGGTGTACAACCAGAGTCACCCGAAGACCTCGTATGCCCAGAAGGTGAGAGTCACAAACTCTACCGATGCCTCCCAGATGAGTGTGGCACAGCTCGTGCAGCTTCTCAAACGATTCGGCCTCACCGTCGTAGCCACTGGTGACTCAGCGGACACCACGGCGCCTCATGCGCCGCCGAGCAACACAGAGCAGGCTGCTCAAGAGTCAGTGTGGGGTCCACCCAGTCCCGCTCCAGCCGCGAACGGTGATGGAGACGGCTGGGCCGTCGTCCAGCGCCGACAGGGTGGTCGGCGCCCCCCGGCGCAGGGTAAGGCGCCACCCACCCCGCCCCGCCCCCGACCGCCCACGGCGGTGCAGGAGGCGCTGCGGCGGGGGAGGAGGAGAGGAGGGCACGAGAGGCGAGGAGGGCTCGCCTCGTCCAGAAGGCCCTCGAGGCTAAGGAAGCCTCGTCTGCCGACTCCGCCTCCGGGAGTGCCAAAGCGGCTGTTGCCGCTGACACCCCGGAGACACCTGAGGCGGGGACTCGGCCCATCATGGGTCCCCCGCCGCCTCCTCCACCTCCGCAGCGGCGGCCACCACCGCCGCTGCCAGAGACGCCTGTGTCGAGGACACAGGCCGCCGCCTCGACATCCCCGTCGGGGCGGCAACAGACCTCCGCGGCTCCAGGGCGCCTCGCCAAGCGGCAGACGCCCCCGAGCTGGTCACCCTCGGAGGGTGACGCCCCCCGGGCGAAAAAGCCCCAGCAGGGCTCGAGCCACGCCCGATCTGCCTCTGCTGAAGGGAGGCTACACCGAGAGGGCTCGGGGCATCCCCGCATCCGTTACGGGGGGAGCGCCTCCTCGGAGTTAGAGGACCTAGTCTAGTCTTTCAGTCTAGTCATTTCCTCTTTTATCCTTTTATCTTTTTCGCGCTATTGCGCTTTTTTACCAGGTGCATTTCTCTCGGTGCTTTTCACCTTTTTTGTGGTCAGTCAGGTATCTGTGTGCGCCTTTGCCTCATGTTATACGCGCCCTTTTTGCGCCTTTTTAACCACGCCTTTTATTCTACAGTGGAACTGTAGAGGCCTCCGGGCCAACTACCAGGACCTACAGTCTCTTATCCGTTGGCGCACACCCCTTGTTTTAGGTCTCCAGGAGACCAAGCTAGCGCCAAACGTTACCTTTGCCATCAAGGGCTACTCTGTTTTTAGAAGAGACCTGGACACCCCTACCATTGCCCATGGAGGTGTGCTTCTGGCGGTTCACCACCGCGTACCTGCTCGCCAGGTGCCGCTGCAGACTCCCCTGCAGGCGGTGGCCGCCAGAGTTGATTTCAACCACCGGGAACTGACAGTGTGCTCTTTATACCTACCACCAGGTATAGCGCTCCCGGTGGTTGAGCTGCATCGACTTGCTGTCCGCTCCACTTCCAAACAGCCTGTATTGCAGCGGACACGCGGTCGGCGACGGCCGCCCACCGTCGCACCCGCCTCGTTCCGGAGATTTGGCCGCACAATAGAGTCGACATGTCTAAAAACAGACCGGGCGGGCCGGAGGGCCGCGTCGAGGCACAGCTGACAAATTACCAGCACTCCCGCGTGCAGGGCGGGTGTACACGGGAGACGCGGCCGCTCCCAGGCCGCGCCGAAAACAGTCGTCCACAGGTAAAACGTTGTAGGAACTCCCCGAGCACCCCACCCCCCACCCCCACCCCCTTCCCCGCAGTCATGCCCCTGCTCCCAGCCGTGGTTCATCACATACAGACGCCCAATAAGGCGCGTCCAACGCACGCGCGCGCGTAAAACACAAACATGGCTCGCTACGGCGTAACACAAGGCTGCATCAGACACCGGCATGCATAATAAAAACAACGGCGCTAATATCACAAAATCTGAAAACGGGTCAACACTATCCGTCCAGTTTTCGCATAAAATGGCTACTTCGTAAGCCTGCAGGGTTCTCAAGGCAAGACATCGTCCCTGTTCATACACCGCGACAGGAAAGGCATAGATCGGTTACCGGCCGGCCCTGGCCACTGCGTTCCCGACGAAACATCACGGCGGTCACACGGGCGCGTCACGGCGGTCACGCGGGCGCGTCACGAACGTAGCACCGTCACGGCGCGCAGCCGACTATCAGCTGGGCGCGTCGGCCGCCCCGCACAGTGTCACCTCGCTGAAACAGTACTGGCGCACGCGGCCGCTGGGGTCCAGCTGGGACACCACCTCGCGGTGGCTCAGCAGCAGCAGCAGGCACGTGCAGCGCGACATCATCGTGTACAGCTTGCGCTGGTCCAGCACGTCCGTCACGTCCACGTCCTCGGCGGGTAGCACGAGCACCACCACCGGACACTCGAGGCCCTTCATGCGCAGCAGCCAGGTGACGCAGAAGAGGGAGCGGTCGCGCGCCTCGAGCAGCGCCTCCACACCGCGCACCGCCTGCGGCACCAGACTGCCGGGCTGGTAGCCGGCGCGCAGTCGGCAGTTCAGCGCCTCCACGTCCACGCTGTTGTCGTCGAAGAACGGCATCACGCAGATGTCGCACGGCTGAAAACCCTTGGCGCCGGTGAGGTCGACCACGAGCGCGGCGACGGCGGCCGTGTTGTCGGTGAACTGGGCCAGGTCCACCCAGAACACGGGCGGACCGTCCACCGCGTGCGCCACGCTCAGGTCGGCGGCGCAGTCGCACAGGCTCCTGAACAGGTTGAACACGTTGCGCGTGCTGCGGTAGACACTGGTGAGGCGCAGGTGCGGCTCGGGAGGGATGCACACCGAACGGAACACGGCCGGCACCGTGCGCTGGTTCTCGTCCACCGACACCCAGAAGTGGCCCAGCGCCAGGTCCACCAGGACCGGGCGCCAGGACAGCGCCCGCCGCCGCAGTCGCCGCGTCCGTGCGCTGTCGGATTGTGTGGCACGTGCCGCAGCAGCCGGCGTCCAGCTCCATCGGCTCCGGCGTGTCGGCCGGCCGGGGCTCCGGCGCCGCGTCCCGCCCGCCCCGCACCCGGCCGTCGTCGCCGCTGTCCCCACTACCCTCGCCGCCGCCGTTCAGCGGGTGTCCCATCCCGTTCACTCGGCCCGGCTCGCTGCCAGTGCTGGCGCGCCGCACCGCCGCGTTTCCCCGCACATATAGTGCGGCGATCTCGTCCACTATCTGCGCGCAGAGCGGTGAGATGAGCACGCTCTCCAGCTCGTCCACAAACACGTGCCGAAATCCGGCGCTCTGCTGACGGCACCAGCGCACGAACCAGTCGTTGCTGATGCTGATCCTCTGGGTGACGACGTGCTCGATGCCCAGACGCTGAAGTCGCTGCACCACCTCCATTCGAATACCGGGCCAGTAGCATAAGAACAGCGCCT